GTATCTCGTGAGGTATAGAGGTGCATGGTGTTGTACATGGACGTATGGTGATGTATAGGGGGGTATAGTGTGGTATAGGGGTGTAAGGTGGTGTTTAGTGCTGTATAGTCGAGATAATTTATAATAATGAAATATATAAGTTTTGTTTAGGTACACTATAATAAGCATATATTTAGGTACATAGTAATAATCATATATAAAGTACCTACTGATTTTTTCCAAATTTTTTAAAAAAATATTTTTCTGTACCGAAACTTTAATTTTTGTACTGAAATTTACATTTCTGTACTGAGATACATATTGCTGTACTGTTGTCATATTTTTCTTTCCATTTTTCTTTTAATTTTTTGTACCGCAACTTTTATTTTTTTTACCGAGATTTATATTTTTGTACCGGGATAAATATTGTTGTACTGTTGTATACATGAAGTTTACTGTACTGAAGAATATAGTCGGAGAACCGATGAATATGTTTGTTCTGCAACTTATGTTTTTGTATTGAGAGATTGATATTTTTTTACTGGAGCTGTTATTTGTGTACTAAGAAATGGAGATATCTTTCTGTACAGGTGTTTATATTTTTGTACTGAAACTGGGATACATATTGTTGTACTGGTGTGTATTTTATTGTACTGGTAAATATACTCGCACAGCCAATGAATATGTTTGTGTACTAATATATAGATTGCAGTAATATAATATATATTTGTGTATTGCCGTTGTGGGCCACCGTAGTTAGTCCATGGTCTTGGTCAAAATTTGGCAATGTTGACATCTTTAAATTTAAAGCAAAATAGGCCAGGAAAGTGTGTTTTACGATATTTTAGAAAGGAAAAAGCCTTTCAAAGCTATAAAAACAAGAAGTTTAAAAGTCGAAAAATTGGGATTTTTTCAAAGGGGTTAGTTCATGGTTTGATCTAAAATTGTCAATTTTTCCATCCTTTCATTTTATGTAAAAAAAAGGCCGGGAAAATGTGTTTCACGATATTCTTGAAAGAAAAAAAAAGCTGTTCTAAAGTATAAATACAAAAACTTCAAAAAGTCGAAAAATCATAATTTGTCTAAAGGGGTTAGTCCATGGTTTTGGTCAAAAATTGTCAATTTTTACATTTTTTTAATTTAACACAAAATAGGCAAGGAAAATTGTTTCCAATATTCTAGAAAAAAACAACGCCTTTTGTAGGCAATAAAAGTTGAAAAAGTCGAAAGTTTGGAATTTTTCAAAAGGGGTTAGTCCAAGGTTTTGGTGAAAAGGTGTCAATGTTTTCATGTTTTTATTTGAAGCAAAATAAGCCAGGAAAATGTGTTTCACGATATTCTTAAAAGAAAAAACGCCTTTCTGGAAAATAAAAACAAAAAAAACAAATATTCGAAAAATTGCGAATTTTCCAAAGAGGTTACTCCATGCTTTTGGTCAAAATTTGGCAATGTTTACATCTTTTCATTTTACGCAAAATAGGCCAAGAAAATGAGTTTCACCCTATTCTACAGAGGAAAAACGCCTTTCTAGAATATAAAAACAACAAATCCAAAAAGTCGAAAAATTGGGATTTTTCCAAAGGGGTTAGTCCATGGTTTTGGTCAAAATTTGGCAATGTTGACATCTTTTATTCAAAGCAAAATAGGCCAAGAAACTGTGTTTTATGATATTTTAGAAAAGAAAAACAACCACCTTTATATTTTAGGCAACATAAGCCAGGATGATGTGTTTTACGATATTCTAGAATGAAAAAAACATTTTTCTAGACCATAAAAACAACAAGTTAAAAAAGTTGAAAAATTGAAATTTTTCAAAGGAGTAAGTCAATGGTTTTGGTCAAAAATTGGCAATTTTTCCACCTTTATATTCTAGGCAACTTAGGCGAGAAAAATGTGTTTCAGATATTCTAGAATGAAAAAAAAAACATTTTCTTAGACCATAAAAGCAACTACTTAAAAAGGTTGAAAAATTGAAATTTTTCAAACGGGGTAAGTCAATGGGTTTGGTCAAAAATTGTCAATTTCTCCCTTTTTTCATTGTAGGCTTACTTAGCCAGGAAAATGTGTTTTAGAATATTTTAGAAAGGAAAAATTTCTACCTAGGCTATAAAAACGAGAAGTTTAAAAAGTCAAAAAATGGGAGTTTTTCTAAAGGGGTTACTCCTTGGTTTTGGTCAAAAATTGGCAATTTTTTCATACTCTTAGTTTAGGCAAAAGAGGTCAAGAAAATGTTATTCGGGAGATTCTAGAATGAAAAAATGCTTTTCTAGACCATAAAAACAAGAAGTTAAAAAAGTTTAAAAATTGAAATTTTTCCAAAAGGGTAAGTCAATGGTTTTGGTGTGAAATTATCAATTTTTCCATCCTTTTGTTTTAGGCAAAAAAAGCCAGGAAAATGTGTTTTACCACATCCTAGAAAGAAAAAACGTCTTTCTACGCTATAAAAACAAGAGGTTCAGAAAGTCGAAAAATTAGAATTTTTCCAAACAGGTTAGTCAATGGTTTTGGTCAAAAATTGGCAATCTTTTCATTATTTTATTCGCGATATTCTAGAATGAAAAAAATGCCTTTCTAGACCATAAAAACAAGAAGTTAAAAAAAGTTTAAAAAATGGAACATTTTCCAAACGGGATTGTGGATGGTTTTAGTCAAAAATTGGCAATTTTTCCTTTTTATTTTTCTTAGGCAAAATAGGCCAGGAAAATTTATTCCATGATGTTCTAGAAAGAAAAAACGCCTTTCCAGGCATTAAAAACAAGAAGTTCAAAAAGTCGAGAAAATGGAAATTTGCCAAAGGGGTTAGTCCACTTAAAAAAGTTGAAAAAATTGAAATTTTTCCAAAGGGGTAAGTCAATGGTCGTGGTCAAAAAATGTCAATTTCTCCACTCTTTTATTGTAGGCCAAATAAGCCAGGAAAATGTGTTTCACGATATTTTAGAAAGGAAAAATGCCTTTCTAGGCTATAAAACAAGAAGTTTAAAAAGTCGAAAAATGGGAGTTTTTCCTAAGGGGTTAGTCCATGGTTTTGGTCTAAAGGTATCAATTTTTCCATCCTTTTGTTTTAGGCAAAAACGGCCAGGAAAATGTGTCTCACGATATTCTAGAAAGAAAAAACATCTTTCTACGCTTAAAAAACAAGAAGTTCAAGAAGTCGAAAATTATAATTTTTCCAAAGAGGTTAGTCCATGGTTTTGGTAAAAAATTGTGAAGTTTTCCATCCTTTTATTTGACTGCGAGCAGTCCCTTAGGATGGTCACGCAAGCGAGGAAAGCGCGAGCGAGAAAACCGAGTTTCCCTCTCGGCCAATTCGCTCTCTCCAGTCCTGCCAAGGTTAGACTTGACTGACTGAAGAGGGACTGCTCGCAGTCTATCCTTTTATTTAAGGCAAAATAGGGCAGAAAAAATGTGTTTTACGATATTCTAGAAAGAAAAAACGCTTTTTGAAGACGATAGAAACAGGAAGTTTAAAAGGTAAAAAATTTGTATTTTTTCCAAAGGGGTTAGCCCATGATTTTGGCCAAAAATTGGCAATTTTGCCATTTTTTTTATTTTAGGCAATATTGGCCAGGAAATGTGATTCACGATATTCTAGAATGAAAAAACATTTTTCTAGACCATAAAAACAACGACTTGAAAAAATTGAAAAATTGAAATTTTTCCGAAGGGGTAAGTCAGTGGTGTTGGTCAAAAATTGCCAATTCCTCCCCTCTTTTATTGTAGGCTAAATAAGCCAGGAAAACGTGTTTCACGATATTTTAGAAAGCAAAAATTCCTTTCTAGGCTATAAAAACAAGAAGTTTAAAAAGTCGAAACATGGGAGTTTTTCCTAAGGGGTTAGTCCATGGTTTTGGTCTAAAAGTATCAATTTTTCCATTTTTTTGTTTTAGGGTAAAAAGACCAGGAAAATGTGTTTCACGATATTTCGAAAGGAAAAATGCCTTTCTTGGCTACAAAAACAAGAAATTTAAAAAGTCGAAAAATGGGAGTTTTTCCTAAGGGTCCATGGTTTTGGTCTAAACGTATCAATTTTTCCATCCTTTTGTTTTAGGCAAAAAAGGCCAGGAAAATGTGTTTCACGATATTTCGAAAGGAAAAACAAGAAGTTTAAAAAGTACGCTAAAAAAAAAACAAGAAGTTTAAAAAGTAAAAAAATTACAATTTTTCCATAGAGGTTAGTCCATGGTTTTGGCCAAAAATTGTCAAGTTTTCATCCTTTTATTCAAGGCAAAATAGGCCAGGAAAATGTGTTTCACGATGTTGTAGAAAGAAAAAACAAGAAGTTTAAAAAGTCGGAAGTTGGTATTTTTTGCAAAGGGGTTAGTCCATGATTTTGGTCAAAAATTGGCAATTTTTCCACCTTTTTATGTTAGGCAACATAGGCCAGGAAAATGTGTGTCACGATATTCTTGAACGAAAAAACGTTTTTCTAGACGATGAAAACAAGAAGTTAAAAAAGTTAAAAAATTGAAATTTTCTTTAAGGATCTAGTCCATGGTTTTGGTAAAAAATTTTCAGTTTTTCCATCTCTTTTTTTTAAGGCACAATAGGCCAGGAGAATGTTTCACGATATTCTCGAAAGAAAAAACGCCTTTCTAGAGTATAAAAACTTGAAATTAAAAAACGCCAAAAAATTTGCGCGCAAAGGAAGGCGGGAAGAAGAAAACGGGCGACTGATTTTCATCCATCCCATAGTCCCTTGCGCTTCGTCACCAGTCACTAGCGTGTCACTTGTGTTTCGAGTTTCCCTCTGTGGGAACAAAGAAGCGCTTGAGGAAGTCATTGGTAACACTCAGTCACTTAATGACAATTACAGGCTTTATTCTAAGGCAAACCAAGAATTTACTACTTTACAAAATACATTATTCCCAAGAAATAAAAATAATTTACTATTCGTTTTTACAAGAACCATCAAGCAAAAGTGGCGTAGCCGAGAGCTGGTAAGTCAAGCCGCATAAATCCTACTATACTTAGATAAATTAATCTAAAAAAAGCTTGACTCGACATTCAGCATAATTAGCAATAGAGATCCTTGAAATTTTCATAGATAAGGGCATGGAAAACGAACAAGGAAAAATGGCATCTGCTCAGCGTTAATACAGTTTGTCTCGGCAAAACAACAAAAAATTGCCTACACCACTATGGTACAGCAGTTCCATTTAAACTATTCTAAATCGTTACAACTAGAGGTGAGAAGGGCAGGTGAATCCCTTAAAACCCTAAGGATTCTCTAGAGTTGCGTTTCCACGCAACTCTGGAGAATCCTTGGGGTTTTAAGGGATTCACCTGCCCTTCTCACCTCTAAAATTTTCACAGGGGACGAGAGCAGTTTAGACACGGAACGCAGAAGTATCGCTTATCCCAGCAAATTCACTCTCATAAATACAAAGCTTAACATTGCATCTATCTTGTTAAAATCTCTCACAAGGTTAAAAATTATATATCAATCTCTTATAACGTTTCACTTCACTAAATTAATCTAAAATTGCTATTTCTGACCTGCGGAAACCATTCAATCATTTCTTCCACCAGCCATTATTATTAAAAATTTCCACGATTTCTTGACTTAGTTCAAAAGTATCGTGAACTGGGAAATGTGTATCTGCTAATCCAAATGCCATCTTATCATACTGTGTGCTACTACATATGGTTCCAAAGAGTATTAAAATGTACAATTCTAATTGATTTTCCAAAATCAGACACGATAAGGAATTGACTAAAAGGAAAAATAATGAAAAATGCTGCAGTTTGTTGGCACCGTGGCTATAAAAAACTTAAGAAACGAACGAAAAAAACAAAAGAACAAAGTGAAATGGTCGACTTGTAGCAATGCTGGTCTTCCCTATCTTTACGCAACTGTGACACCATCTACCATTAGGAAACAATGTGTGTTCCCAAAACTGCCACAATGACCTTGTGATGTGTAGATAAACTATACGCTTGGCTGTTGACGATACATAAAAGTACAACAGATGCTCTTGCGTTAACCAAAATTGCATAACTGAAATGTCCCTGACTTCCTGTCTGAATGTCATAGTGGAGAGATCTAAAAAGCAAAGCTGAAAGATTCCTGTCTTGAGTACTCTGTCCTCACTGGGTTCTAGTGTACTTTGTTTATGGCTTACTGTACTGTCCTTTCGTAATAACATTTCCCCTTGAACTGCTCTTGAACTGGAACTTATTTCAATGACATAAATCAGAAGTGGATTCTTTATCATATCGTTGATGAAGCTTGTAATTTGGAGTAGCTCGTATCTGTCGCAGCACATCAAACGTTCATATTTTGCAACTTTTCCACCCAGATTTTAGCTTCTTCAGGACTCTCGCACATGAGATTGTAGACTCGCTTTGTTGTTCTTAACTGTTAAAGGTCAAAGAGCCCATGGATTAAAAGAAAAGCTTCCTCTCAAGTCACATTTTCACTATAAAAAAGGTCTTTATTAGACCAGTCAGTCCCTCTTTTTCCGCAAGACCGTCGAGATCGAGTGCTTTGCGTAACGGACGTCCATCTTGGATGAGTGTCAAATCTACTTAGGGGGCGAAAGGGGGGGGCTTTTTGGGAGGAGAAGTCTGTTTTCGCAGGTTACCTACCTAACTTGACCCACCGCAAAAAACCCCGACACCCGCTCCCTTTGCACTTATCAAACCAAGATGTCCGCCCGTAACTGTAAGCGCTCGATCCTGACGATCTTACGAAAAACTTTACAGTCTAGGGTCTTATTCATTGTGGTATGCAAGTAGGGTTTTGCATGATGTTATAATCTTATGCCTTCCCGTTCTACTTAAAACAAGTTTAACAAGCCTGTATAGGGGTCATGCGAAGATGAAAAGGCAATTCAAGTATCAATCTCTATCACTGGACGAAATATAACAATACCACTAGGAACACTAGAACCCTGGTAAGGACACGAAAAGCGATTCGAGTTAGCGGGAATTTGGAGTTATCGGGGTAAATTTCAGTAAAATTTTGATCAAGGGAATTTAAATTTAGTTCGAGTAGGCGGAAATAAGAGTTATCCGAGTTCGAGTTATCAAGGTTCTACTCTATTTCAATTTATAGTTTGGTTGTATTAACAGCCTCTAGTTGCCACGCTGTGTGATTGGCCGCAAAATATCGCCCTACTCTCAATCGTCCAGTCAGAAGCCAAAACAAAAACGTCGTCACTCCCACGCACGATTTTTCCCGCTTTGAGCTTTTTTGAATGTGCCACTTCTAATCGGTCGATTGGATTGCCTGCGACCGTGTTGCGATGGGCTAGTGATTACTTTCAGAATGGTTTTACGACATTTGAAGGAAACAAGTCTAGTTTACAACATTGTTGCAATAAATAACATTTAACTCACATCAAAGAAGGCTCCTTTTTCTGAACCTTTAGGAGCACCTACAAAAAAAGAGACATCAGAAGTGATATGATACCTGACAGAAGACGATTACTAAACAAGGTAGTTATCTCCTTCAGTAGATTAAAATTGAGTTACGTGACACGATTGTAGATTTTGATGTCTGAGGAAATACCACCATTTATAGTGAGAGCTATCGTGCAATGATCTTTCCGTGTTACTGCTTATATTATTAAGCCTTCAAGATGGTTGTAACTTAGCAACCCGTGGAAGCTATCCTACTGAAAGCCGGTTACCGTGGCCCTGTTGAACAAGGATTGTCCGACAGCTGGGCTTGGACTACATCAACACTTGAATAAGAACTTTGAGCAGTACTTTCATTTGGTACTTAAAAGCGAAACAGTCGAACTGAAGACGGTCTTATCTGGTTTTTAGCAAGGGAAGCTTAACAGAGTAAAAGGAATAATGTCTTTTACCAGGAGGAATGCTGTTGAGAGCTTGCACCGCAATCATCTCTCCAAGATCAACATAACCTTGCAAATGCTGGTCATGTTCACCATCGTAATACCGCAGCTAAAAAAGAAAAGAAAAAAAGCAAATATATCAAACTCTTAACACATTGTGAGGGTGTGAGGAACACGATTTTATCAGTATAATAGCCTACGTTCGATATAATAAAAATTCTAACACGACTCCGAGGCTTTCTGATCATTTTCCTATGTTCGGTTAGGTTTTTTTGTGTTCAAGTCTCTTTTGAGAATTGCGAGACAATGGAGTCGCGAAAAATTTGCAATTTTGTCCCAGAAGCCTCGGAGTCATGTTAGAAGTTTAAAAAATCGAACGTGGGCTATTGCTGTGGAGTGTTTTACTCTGATTGCACTAATTGATTGCCATAATAATTGACGAACATGGTTATTTCTTTTTGTAATACCAACGCCTGGTGAGATCATGATCTTTCACCTCCCCAGTCACCTATGCACAAATGTTACGGAGCCCTAAGTTTATTCCCTCGCGTTAACGAAACCTCTTCAGCAGCACTATGCTTTTTTTCGCTTTAGTATTAGGATTGAAAGGTGAATGGTTGTATTGGAATCACACTGCAGAGCCAGGTGCCCACATAACAAAAGTGCTCTCCGCATTATGATGGTCGGGATTGCAGGAGGTTTGCTATCCTTGGAACCAAGAGAACAAAAAAACAAAACAAAAATTAATATCGCGCTGCTACAACACTCGCTTCTTCTTGACATTAATGTGATTCCAACCCCAAAAGGGTTAATTTCATCTCTTCTGTACTACTGGGGTGTTCGTAAGGAGAAATTGGACCCAGCTACTAGCGGAAGCAAAAAGAATGAAAACTGCTGAAACACTTGTATAACAACAGGCATGGAAACTTTAGAAGTATGACGACTTGTCCGACAACATAATAAGGTACCGTAAAATTCCGAAAATAAGCCCCGAGGCTTATATTTTTCAAAGGCCCTTTTTGAGGGGCTTATATTCGGAGGGGCTTATGTACGGAGGGAAATTTGCGTTTCAAAATCGATTGGGCTAGCTTGTAGTGGGAAGGAAATTTACCATTTTTGCTTTATTTTACTTAGTATTAGAGGGCAATTTTCCAAGTACAAGCCCCCCGGGGGGGCTTATATTCGGAGAGGTGATTTAACGGAGGGTTTTTTTGCGTTACGATTTTGGGGGGCTTATATTTGGAGGGACTTATACATGGAGGGGCTTATTTTCGGAATTTTACGGTACCATGCAACAATAAAGGCATGTTTTTTTTTACTGTCTGACAATCATCACGTGGATACATCTCAGAACTTTTAGCTTCTGATTGGCTGCTAATCATATCAAACACTGCCGTCATGGAAAGTAGCCTTCCATAGGCCTCTCTTAAGAAACAACAACAAACTTCGAACCTGATTTCTCTGTGTATCCAGGACAAACCACCTGGCCTTCCACTGCCTTAGAAGATGTCCTTTCTTATAAAGATGGCCGCAGTGAAGTTTTTTAGTTTGGGATGCGTCGGTCTGTTAAGGAGAAATGTCAATGTAGGAAATAAATTACCCCAAGGAAGTGTAGGGCGGGAAATCTTTGTTACCAACTATGATATATTTCTAACTATGCTTACAAGAAGCCGTCAGATTCGGGGACGAGATTTGACTTTTTTCTGCGTATCGGACTTAAAAAATACACACTCTGAAAAGCTTAATTTCCCCTTTTTCACCAGAATAGTTAAGCGATTATTTTCATTGAAGGAGGAGGAGCCCCCTTCCGATTGCAGAATGATAAAACGTCTAACATTTGATAACTTGTTTCCGTCATTACAACATTTTCGCTAAAACCCGCAGTAGAATGGCGAAGGCTATCGCGTTTTCTCGCTGGTTCACGCACGCGCACTGGTTAGTATTCAGAAAATTTTGTCCTGGTCTTAGAATCTGAAGGCCTCTATTATTTAGGGGCAGGATTAACAACAATTGCCTCATTGTTATTGGCATGCCTCTTTATTTCGTGGTATCTTATTTACGGTGAAGAGGCACAATGGCCAACAGTACTTGAAATTTTTGGTGGGAGTATTCACATTACCATTTGTTAATTTAACGAAACACAACAAAATTGCTTTAAAAAGGGGGCCCAAAACTCTAGAAACAGGAAAATTACAAGAATCAAATTTCGATAAGTTGAACCACGTCTTTCTTGGAAATTTCGCTGTTTTATCTGCATTACGAGACAAAAAGAAAAATTAATGATCCATGCATTAAAACATTACTGACCTCACTGGGTAGGCTCATGGTGCTCTTGGTCATACCAGAGCCAGGCTGCTCGGGTAGGTCTCGCTTCTTACACTGCCAAGGGACCTGGGGCTGGCACCGTTCATGGCAGTTGTAGCCACACTCTGTGCATTTCATTCCTGCAAAATGCAACAAAGTAAGCTATGAGCTTTTTGACAAGCCTGTTCGCAGGGGTTTGTACCAACATTTCACTTACGATTGTAATTAACAACGTGAATCCTGAAAACTTACACAGATTTTGTTACATGCTTCAAGTAGTTTTCAACACAGGTTAAAGACTCCACGTACCATGTATGCCCATACGAAAAACCACTCTAAATCATAATAGTTACCTAAATAACTAAATTTTTTGTTGCTTTATTGTTTCTAACAGTAACCGGTTACAAACAGCACTTGATGTAGTGGGTGACAGTGACAGAGGCATAACATGGTAAAGAGCATTTTTTTGTGAATTTCTGGACCAATTCAGGTTTCTGAGAAACTGCCCACCTACCCCTCCCCTCAGCCAACATTTTGCCCAAAGTGAGAGGCAAGTGTTAATGTTGACTTAGGAGAGGGGCAGGTAGGCAGTTTCCCAGAAACCCTAATCGATCCGATTAGATGGCAACAAATTTTCGTATCTAAGATTTTAGAAGCATATTTCTTGATTCTGGTTGTTTTACCTCGATTCAAGATCCCAATGATCATCTGATAGCAGTGATCACAGTTGGAGGGAGGCATGAACGTATGCGCTACAAAGTTGTGCGGTTGAGAGAAGCCCTGGGCTCCACGTTCCTCTAGCTGCAGCTTTCCCTGGAATGACAATGTTATAGTTGATGTCACATTATAAAATTGAATCCAACCAACGTGGACAAGATTCAAGACATTTTCATCGTCTCCTGCTCCAAGAATAATTACAACATCAATAAATTTAGAAGATAGTACAATGACATGAAAAGGGTGTAGTGTTGATCGTGTGAAATGTGTGGGATTCCAATCTACAGAAGGCCTAGGGATTGTGTCAAAATCCCCGTGGAAACCCGGTTCTCTTTCTTCGCAAGTGCACCAGTAATTAGCAGAAAATACTGATTAAGAAGATGACATACCTTAAGAATGACCTCCATGGTACCTTTCTTGTGAAGGTTTAGGCGTTGATGGGTATTCCACCTTCTGTTCAAATGCAAAGGCTACAAGCAAAGTAATGGAAATGAAAATCTGGTGGCTGTTAGACAGCTAGGAAGTCATCAGAATTGTCGCGCTAACAAGCAGCCTTTCACTTCCTGCATTCTCGCCATACCCGCATGTGCAGTTTGCCGACTCAACTGATGACTGAAACAGCTTTGTGTATTGGCCCTGTGGAAACCATTGTTGGTTCGCTTTTGTTTTTTACTGTGGGTATTGTACTACGTCATTTGGTGGTGACTCCAGTCCGCAAAACCAAGACACCCCCCACCCCCGCTAAAAAGGGACCAGTAGTACTGTGGTAAACGGTCACTGCTGAGAAAGGAAAACTGAAACAGCACCGGTAATCCACAAAGGGTATATGTACTCCATTTCCCTTTTAATTTTACAGCTGTACTTTCAGCTTACCAACACCACTACATAATTTCTGTATTTTCGGGTGTTTGCAAACACAATATTTTTTAAAAGAGCTTTTTCTTGAAAGGCACCATAAAGTTCAGCTTGTAAATGGGACTATTTTTTCTAGTTTTTGCTCTCCTCGAATTCATTTGGATGAAGGTATCATATACACTGGGAATCCACCAACTGCTGATTGCTGATTAAGTTCCATGTTATGTGTTTAATCCACTAGGGTAGCAACTAGCGAATTAAGGTTGATAACTACTCTTTTCTCCATGGAATGTACTACAGAGACACAACACAGCTCCTTGGAAACAACTTCATGCCTTACCAAAAGGGTTTTTCGCATGCTCCGGTGAAGACATTACATCTTTTAGTAAAGAAAATTCCAAAACTCAGAGCAAAATTTGAGACAAAAAACGAATATTTCGTCCGAATTGTTTGAACTTCATCAGCGTTGTGAAGCGTTTGGTTGTGTAACAGAAAAGGTGTTACGTATCCCCAAGAGAGAATTGTAAATTGCTAGTAGGTCCTGTCCCTCGTCCTCAACTTTGTTTGATAGCAATGGCCTCCTTGATGCCACACTGATGGTGTTGTTTTCGTCAGATAGAACTTTTATGTGTTGGTTGATGTTATGACCCATTGCCCGGCAGTGCTGGAAAATGGGAGAAGTATCACAGGATTGGAGTTCTTTGATCGGAGTGCTCTGAGTTTTGGAATTTTTTAAACTAAACATTACGCCTGGTGAACTGACACCAACACTTCGTATTGTCTCTTAATAAAGCTCACCAATTTCTTTCTGGGAGGATATGACAAGCCGTGCCAGTGATGTTCCCACTTCTTGGGTTTTTGATCTGCTTCTTCCTCTAGTCTGTACAGTTCTTGAAGAATCCATGAACACTCATCATTTGAAAATTGTGTGACGTCACCATAGACACCAGACATGCAGCTTCCATACGTTTCCTAGAAATAAAGACAAAACCAGTCATTGTCTCAATAACCTCTGACCGTTTTTGGTCTTCGTCTTACAGCGTGTGAATGACTTGCACCATGTGAGGGGATCCAAGACAGTCTTGGATTCTGGATTCTACGCCATGAATTCCAGACCCCAGGTACTAGATTCCATATTTCTTCACCCTGCAGTTCTCATATACGATTTTTACACATTCATAAATTAGATTCCGGATTCTTCATCAGTGGAATTTGGGTTCCAATTGTTAGCGGGATTCCGGATTCTACTTCCAAGATTCCAGATTTTACAAGAAAAGATTTCCCGGATTCCGGAATCTGGATTCCCTTACAAGGGGCGAGAGTGACAGCGGGTTTCCAGCCAAAAATAACCCGCAAGCAAGTGATAGTTATCATTAAACATTGAATGTGAAGACCTGCTTTGATACTGACCACTCTAAAGCTTCAGTAAAACGGGCAACAAAAATGTACAAAAAAAATGTACGTTTCACCACCCACGTTCAAACCTGTCTCTCAACAACCCAGCCTCCTGCAGGTTGCAAAACGTTGTTGCACAGAGTAGAGAGTATTTCTACTTTCTTGCAACAAAATTTGTACAGGTTGTATGTTTTACCGGTTAGGTAAACTTGTTTTGCAGCAAGTGACGTAACACAGTGACTCCCTCGTAATTTTATCCAGCCAGAGTCAGTATTCATGAAACTTGCAAGCAGCAACCTGATTTACTGCAATACGGGTTTCAACGTGGGTGGTAAAACGCGCAATATTTCCTTTTCGAATCGTTTTACATCAATGTTACACGTTTTTGCTGTCGGTTTGCCGTAGCTTTAAATCCTTAAATTATTAGGAAACTCGCTATTAACAAGAAGGATGAGTAGATTGACACTGGCTCTTGCAAAAAGAGTACCTGTCTTCCATCACCACTCTGTTGTTCATTTTCTGTGGTGGTCGTGACGTTATTAATCAGCTCCAAGTCGTATGTTGGACCTGTTGACAGATTCTCTGTTGTGTAATACTTCCACACCTTTAAATTGGGTACTTTGCAGAATGGCCGCAAAACCTGCAACAAGAACAACAACAACAACAGACATCAGCCTTGTTAGCTATTTAGAGGTCTTATATATTGCTAATCATCCTTAGACAATTTAGAGCGCGCTTCTCAAAGAAAAATACACTCGGAATTAATCTAAAAATAAATCACCCTACGAGTGCATACATTTGATGAAACCTAAATCCAGATTTACGCACACATTATTCCTTTCATCCTAGTGAATCCAAAGAATCTGAGATTATGAAAATAATTTTGGATTCTTCACTCGCCTGTAAGCAAGCTCTCTTGCTGAAGGCTCAATCGGGGAGGAAGAGGGCGAGGAATAAAAAGGGAGATAAAGCTTCTCCTTCTTCCCAACGAACAACACTTCGATCTGTGTTTCCCTTTTTAATTTCTAAAACTATCTGTTTCTCTTTTTTGTGTAAAATGACCAACCTTGTGTTGACCCGGTGAATAGAGAAAGTTGTTGTACAATGGTGATCTGCTCTTCTGAAAATCCATGTAATCCCACAAAGATTTGCCTCTTGGCTTCCCATCCTCTTCCACCATCCAGCCAGACTCCATTCGTTCATGTTCAGAATCCAGAAGGAAGGTACGGAATCTCATAGAAACATGGTGGTATGCTATGGTACTCAGAAAGTGATCATTGAACTCAAACGACAAAGGAAACTGGAGCATGATCTACGAAAGAACATTATTTTTCCGTTAGAAACCATCGTCATCATCAATGACACTACTATTGTCACTGTTGTTACCACCACCACCACCACCACTATCGTCGTCATCATCATCATCATCATCATCATCGTCATCGTCACCATCATTATCATCATCATCGTTGTTTAATTACAGACACTTCCGTTTCGACTGCCAAAAATGCCATAGTTTGCACAAGATGCATTCTGCGTTATACCCTGTATGTACTGTATGTTTCTTGAACTCGACTTTCTCTACACAATTAATTGTGCAAAAATCCCCAGTGCAGTGAATAGACTGTTACATAAAGATTTTTCGATAAAAAACAATGTGTGGCAATGTGAAAATGGTTTATTGATAAAGTATTCTCAAGTACATATAGCACTGCCTTTCTATAACAGCTTTGAGGTTCATTCAAAGCAAAACAGATACCTGATGAACACAGTCTAGAAACTGTAAGAATACTGGTGTGAATCCAGCTTGTGCTGAGGCAATTTGATTTCCACGGTGAGTGAATCTGTGGCCAAATGCTAGCCATTCCTTTTCAATCAGCAGTTTAAAGCCATCTATTGTCCGATAGTGAGGATCAAGCATGAGCTCTGCAAGAGATAGTACCTAAATAAAGGAAGAAATAAAAGGGAAAGACAGTAAGGACAACTATGATTGATTCTGATAGGTTTAATTCCTCTGGCTAATTTTTCAACACAAGCTAGCGAATAACAAACTTGGAGGACTTTTTTTCTATATCTGAAAATTGAGGTCAGTCATTGAATAACAGAAAAATCATTGGACAATCAACATCACCTGTACCCGAAAACAGCCAAGGGAGTAACAAATGTTTAGAAGAAATTCTACTTAGAGTTACGGTTACGAAAAATGAGGTTGAGGTCTGGCTTCAAGATGTTAACAACTGAGCCAGGAATGGAAAGATTCAGAAAACGCGCGAGAAACGAAAATGACAACACGAGTGGCTGAAGGCAGGAGACGGGAGAGGTGCCCTCGTTTCTCGCGTCTCGCGGCGTGGCCACTCGACACTCGCGCGTGCATGCACTCCCCTCACTAAATTTGAAGAAAAAGAGAGACTGCTCTTAGTCTAGTTTTGGTACAATCAGGGACATTTGTCTAAAATGGGCGCTTTTATCAACAATTTCATTCATTTATTATTTCATTCTATTTAAACGCCGTAAATCCCCCCCACCCCCGAATCAATGTTGTTTGAAGTAAAAGAAAGACTTGAGGGTCTAAAACACAACATTGATATTGGGGGGAGGGGGTGGGAGGACACAGGGGAAAGGGACACGTATGTCCACTATGCAAAAAAGGCCATTTTACAGAAGTTTCTCAACACCTTTGTCCCTCTTTGTAGTTTTCCCACAACAAAATTGACACGCAATACTGTGATAAACAAAACCACACTGGACACTTACTTGAGCAGTGGCATCCCATCCATCTTCAAAGCAGACAAGCACTGATGATCCTTGGATGTCAATCAGGTCAACAAAACAGTTTGCAACGGTCATGATTGCAGATAGCTATTGAAAGAGTTCATAATTAATGGGTAAAATTAAACAAAGAGGAGTCTGAGCCGAGGCTTACACACCTTTGTGTAACTCACAAAAAAACGGTCCAAAAATGAATGGGTGTATTCACTATTTTCACATCGACCATAATGCACCTTGTTTACGCCCCAAAATTTTGCATAACCATTGTCTTGGATTTCTCTTAGGACGACTGTAAAACCTAGGAGAAATTGGAAACAATAGTTTTGCAAAATTTTGGAGGGTAAACACGATGCATTATAGTCTGTGTCAAGATGGTGAATTCCTTTAGCATCTGATACGAATCAGGATTAAATTATCGAGAATCCACTCTGGGAAAGGATTCATCGGTTCCTTTAATGCAACATGATGCGAATGATCTTGAATCGCTGATCCGAAACCAGATCATCCCAAAGGAACGCACCCAAGAGAATACTGGAGGGCGGTATTCCTTTAACTGCAATGAGATGGCCATTAACCAACTATTGAACTGATATTTTGATAACTATTGTCTGTGACTAACTTTCACAAAAAAAGTTCATGTTTTCTAATTCTAAAATTCCCTACACACTCTGCATGGCCATTCACGAACCTGTGGAAGCCATTCAGACTCCTCAACCTGTTGAATGAAGCTCAGGTTTGTCTCTGTACTGGGACAAGTAGCTCGCTGGAACTTCTTGAAACTTGCTCTCACTGCCCTGATGTCAGGAAGCTGGGGAAAAACACATTTGGCAATGCTTTTCAACATCTAGTTCAACTTTGAGAAGGATGTTATTCAGTCAGTGACACAAGCAGCCCAGAAGAAAAAATCTGAGTACTCCCAATAGGAGATGAATCTATGACCTTCAGGGCCCGGTTCCTGCAAGGCCGATTACCGTTAATCCAGGATTAAAATTTTGTTCCGTTTTCATATTTTATCTTTCTATGTATTGCTTAGGGTAACATTTTGTGTTATCATTTCTATATCTCGTAGTAAAGGCTCAACAGTAGTTTGTAACCTCCAGTTGATTATTCTTAGACGAGAAAACCATGCTTGAAATTTGGCTTAATCCTGGGTTAAACTTAACCACCTTTCGAGGAACCGCAATCAATGTTGTCAACATAAATAATGCTGTCCTCTGAATTCAATCAATCCTTTCTCTCCCAGTAGGAGTAAATCATGATGTTGTGCAATTTTAATGGTGAGCAAAATTCTATGATGTATAGTCATTCTAATGAAGCCTTTTAAGTAATTACATTCTAAACAGTAGTGGATCCAGGGGAGGGGCCCAGGGGGCCTGAGCCCTCCCCCTTATTTTTAGACCAAACTGAGGCCCAAAGGGGCAAAAAAATTTTTTTGGGAGACCGGCCCCTCCCTTATCTAAGGGTCTGGATGACCGTGTCCCCAACCCCACCCCCTTATCTCAAGGTCTGGATCTGCCGCTGCCAAAAACATGTCACCTTTGCAGAATGATATATCATATTTTTTACTTGGTCTTTCTTGGAAGTAAAAAATTATCCCATCAAGTGACAAGAATATTGAAGGCTTTTCATGTCTCACCTCGATCGGAACAAACTCACACTTGGGATATGCTTCTTGCTTAACGTTCTGGGGAGAAGAAACAAATGCAGAACTATTAGAGAAAAAAAGATATTGAATCATTCCCCAAGGCTGCTGTCACTTGTTCTTTAACCCATTCATTTCTGGGAATTTTGCGAAAAAATGCCTTCGGAAACTACAATTGATCCATTTGTTGGTGACTGTCTGGCTATAAACAACCAAAACGTCATTTGTATGCCAAGCACTTCACAGTATTCTGATCAAGATGCTAAATGTCGCCTTTAGAAGATTGGGTGTGCACAGAAGGCCAAATTTTGAATTTTAACTTTCACTTTCTCTCCTCCCCTCTTCTTTTGCTTTTCTTGCCTAATTTTTTTTTCTTTTGCTGGGCATTTACTAGGGTTTCACTTTGGTGAAAAAAGGTTTTAGGGAAAGCTTTTAGATGGAAGGAAGTGCAGGTGATTAGTGGGAACGATTTTCATTTGAGTTTTCAAGTCAAACAGTGCATTCCTCTCCGGTCCCCTTGACTGAATCCTGCACATCCAGGCATGGTTTGAAAGATCTCTTCCCCCTGCAATAATCTTTTCCAAAGACAAACGACAATTGTTGATCTGAAACAATATTCTCTTTGGCTGTAGATTGCTTTGACCTGTTCATATGGTAGAGCAAACCTACCCTTAATAAAGACTTGTCACCAAAGATGTAGAGGGCGGCTGGTTCCCATCCTTTTTTTAAGATAGTCTTGTCAACAAGTTGACCAGAGTCAACCTCGTCTGGGAAAAAACCATCTCGCAGGACAACTCCATGGTGGAGTGAGTTGGCACGAGCAATGTTCTTACTTTTTCCCAGGGGTGTGGCTGCCACTAAAGATAGCAACAAAAGGATGGTAAGTAACGTTTAATATCACAAGATTTTAAAGCTGAGGATGAACTGCAGCAAAAGGCATACCTTGCTGACTAAGTGCAACCTTCAAGGATTAACAATAGTTTCTGCTACTGCATTGGTTGGTAAAATACAAGAAATTGAAATTATTAACTGAGATGGGAAATGAAATCTATTTTTGGTGGCTAATTGATGGGGTCACAAAATTACTAGTAACCCAGTAGTTTTTACTTGGGTCCACAAATAAGGACAGAAAAAAAAAACATTTGAAACTAAATATCGCAGGTAAGAATCCCAACTGGCCGGAAGCAAACAAGTTGGCTATTCATAAACATGACTAAGGAGTTACAACTTGGGAATACCAAGAACAACTCCAGCCAGCAGTTGGGGAAAGGATTTAACTCGGGCCTCTGAATTGCAATTCCGGTCTTCTAACTGCTCAGCCACACCACCTTCTTAAAACCTTATACCCTCAGCTGATCACACCAAATACAAGAGCTCACATGTTTTACCTCTATTCATGGTGGCATAAAGCTACTGAGAAGGGCTGCTATTTCGACAAGATGTAGGGAGGCTGCATGGCCGAGTGGTCACCACGACGGACTCTTAACCCGGCAGTCCTGGGTTTGAGTCCTGCTCTGGCCACTTGCTGGATTTGTTCTCGGTCATCCCGAGTTCAAATCTTCAGCCACGTTTGTAAATAGCCAGCTGGTTGTCTCCTACCAGTTCACGATTTTAATACTGTTATGTCCTATTTGCATCATTTGTTTCAGAATTATTTGAGTAGAGTGCCTGCAAACTAGCTGGATAAGCTACATGTAAGTGCACTTTCCACCCCCAAAAAACCTTTAACCTTTAACTGTATCTTTTTTCCTTCATGCAAAAACTCAAACAAAGCTATTAAATGAGTCGCAAAATCTGTGGCATTATTCACTGATTTCATGAGGTCTCCTTTTCTGGACTTCTTAAGCAACCTTGAGAAATTTTCATGGTTTTTCACATACTGTTGAAACCAAAATGACACAACACAAAACAAGAACCACAAAGTCAGAAAGAGTATACTGATCTTTATGAAATCCAATTTGAACAAGAGACAGCTATTCAAATATTGGCCCGATAAACATCATACTCGACAATTTTGTAAAACTCAGTGTCATCTTTCTGTCTTTGTGGGTTTTCTGTTAATAATCACATAATACATGGACTTGTGCCCAGTACCCCTCAGTTTGAAAACAGGCAACGGAAGTCTTTGCATGCCAGTGGGTACCTACCTACGGCCGCAAAATATTTCTCCTGTTCAACAGAAGCTGATGAAGATATGGCATGATGTGTCACGCTGCTGCCACTCACAGTTTTGGTCTGTCTCATAATTGACCCTATAGTGCTTCTCTCAATGCCTCCTGCTCTAAGCAACGTTGCTTTGTTATACTGATGCCTCCATATTGCCACAGGAAATCTTCCTTGGCGGTGATTCCTAGCTATTCGTAGAATGCTATCATCTGAAATGCTATGTGGTACTAACACTACCGAGGGGTAACTGCAAATTGAAGTTACAAACTGTTTTAATAGGCTATACAATAGTACAACAAAAATACAATGTTGCAATGCCCTTTATTGGTGTCCAACAACCTTACACTTACATCAAACAACTCCTAAAAAAGCTGCTCTAATATTCACTGTAGCACTTTGATTTTAACTACAAAAAAGTTTCAAGCTTTAGAACTGTCAGGATTGGGGAAACATTTTGACAAGTGAATGCTGGTACAAGAAAATTCAACTTCTTAGTAGTCATTAAGCACAACAAACAAGAACAAGACAACAAAACAAACAATTTGCATGACTGTGGCCTTCCTCCATGAAGTCGTCATGCTCACTATTACCGTGTCCAGTACATATCTCTGGTAGGCGACAATGACAATTTTCTAAGATGCAAATTTTCTGCCACCATGTTTTTAAAGGCTTCATTTTGGCTAGCTAAGAGAACCTTGGCCAAGCCATTTACATAGCAAAGACAGCCTGCCTATAGACCTTTTCTGAATTCCCCTCCAGTGAGCAAACATAAAGAAATGAGGTTGTGGCTCGACTGGACAATTTCATACAAATCTCTGTATTTTGTCCACCCAAACCCAAGTTGGAATGCAGAAAAGGTCTGTTAACCCTGGGAAGAGGACAGACAGGGTGTCAGGGGTAAACGTGTATCAATGCATTTTCCAAAGCATGGTATATAAAAAGTTGGCATCCTCACGGTGAATCAGGGAACCTTCATTATTATGTGAATGATATATATGAAATAAATCATATAATAAATGCGGAAATGAAATCAAATGAAGAATGATCCTCGCAGTTGTGAATGCAATTTATGCAAGCCTGAAAAAGTCCTGAATTTTTTTCAGGCATCTTATGCAATTGCATAAATTCAGTTAACAACTGCGAGGATCATTCTTCATTTGACTTCGTTATTATGTTAACAGGTACCAAGTGACATATCTATTTTCTTTCTTTCATTTCTGGGTTGGACCCTAGAGGAACCGAAATTTAAAAAAAACATTTACAATATATACTCACCTTCGACATGCTGTGTACGTTACATTGACCATGCATATCCTCCAAGGACCCACTGCTGAATCCTTAGCAATGTTTCCCAACTTCAGACGGGAATAGTCATTGCAGTATGATAGCTTGCTTAGTCTCTCAACTCCCTGAACAACAGGTTCCACTTTGAGAGGAATGTCATTAAGGTCCAAAACAGAATCATCATCATCTGTTGTTAACGATCCACTAGGGGACCTTTGACTGTCTAAATCATTGTGTCGGTGTCTTCGTTTCCGAAGTGAGCCCCTCAATTGGCTTGTCTTATGCCTTGAGGCATTTACAAGTTTGTTCTTTGTTTTTTTGAGAGTCCCTTGTCTCTCCATGTGCTTTTGAATGACAAAAGTTGGTGTCCTTGCAATGCCTTTGCCACAAAAAGCAAAAGAACCGAATACTGTATTTGGTAAATGTCTTTTCTGGAGTTTCTTCCTGAATGTCTCAATGACTTCCTGTTCAACTTCTTCATCAAATGCAAGTTTCATCATCTGCCAGGGAAGAACACCATAACCCACCTCATAATTATTACGTTTGACAAAACTCAGTATAATTTCTAAAAATATTAGGTATGATCCATTTGCTAGACTTGGACTATTCTTTACAAGGAAGGCCAATGAGTTACCTTAAAAAGCACTTAACACATACATCATAGTTTAATAGACACATTTACTAAAGTCATGGTCACCATTTCAACACTCTGTCATGGCGCATGGGACAAATGAGGTTTAAAAAAAATGGATGTTACAGTTTGAAACGGTAATATAAATACTACTTAAATTCAAGGGGGCCATGCAAATGAGCTGCTAGCAGTAAGCCCTTGCAGTAAGAGTGAAAGCTTCAAGTTTTTCTCTCTGTTAGTTTCTGTAGGAAGGCATCATTCCAAAAACAACAGCAACAGGTTCACTATACTATAAAGAAAAATTGCTTTGATCTCAGCACCCAGAAAATATAATCCCAGCAATAAAACACAAGCATACAATAGAAAAAGAAAATCTAGTACAGACTGACCTGAAAAGTACTAGATCGGAGCTGAATGCACTCATGAAGCCATTGGCCCAAATGCTGCAAATACTGAACTCCAATCTTCTTTTGAGTTATCAGCGCACCCACAGGGAAGCTTCTAGTCACAATCATCTCTGATGCTGAACAGAACAATTACAATACTTACAGTAATTATACTTTTACTCTTTTCTAAACAAAATTAAAGACTTAAAGGTGCATTAGGAGCACGTAATATCATTCAATAGATAAGTCACCTAAAGCCCTGTCTGAGGGTCTTGTTGCAGTTAATATGGAAAAGTAACGATAGCCCAGTCAATTAGCAGTCACGATGGTTCATGTCTCAAAAGTAACAGAGAGATCAAATGGTATCTGATTACTTAAACAATAATTAATAATAATAATAATATTATTGCCCATTATTTAAAACTTACAACATGGCAAGAGAGACCAGGCTAGAAACTGCAGACCTTCGAATCACAGGTGCAAGGCTAGCCACAACATCATTGTGGCAAAACTTAAAAACTTGCATTGACAATAGCATACATGTATCTTGGCTGCTGACATTAACATAAAACGCTGCTGCATGAACTCACCAAATTGGTCCACAGGAGTTCCCTTGAAAATCACCCTGTAGTTGGTCAAGAAAACAGCACCTTCTGCCGGCAGTAGGCATGGCCCTTCTCCTCCTTTACCTAGCTCGCGGCCATCAGGCACAAGGTAGGCACGCAGTCCATCACTAAGCATTTCCTCCCCTTGAAGCATGTCAGGTCTCATGATCTTGGCCTGCGGTGAGTGACAAACATGGGACAGTCACATCATGTTGGGAGGGGTGGCAGTGATGCGACTGCGTCACCCACTCACTTTCCCTAACCAATAAAATTAACGAAAAACAGTCACCCCCGAAAATGGTGGCTTTTCAAAGAATTTTGCTGTCTTGTGACTATAAACTGAATTTTTTGCATACTGTTTTGAAATGGGGCTGTCCCTTAAAAGGCTGACACAAGCAAAATTGTCATTTAGCTGTGAATGACTCCCATTTTTTGAAATTGGATTAACTAATGTGGTACTTTACACGGGTAAAAAATTTACAAAATGACATTTTAACAGTGAGATAGGAGAACAAGACACAGTGGTAGTAACAATGATAGTGATAACAAACTCAACACAAATCATACTATAAAAAGACTTACACTTGAAGAAACTTCCAAATCAGCAAAAATAACTCAGATTACATAATAAATATTATTTACATAAAATAAAATTTTAAGTTCACTACACTGCAAAAATGTTCTTACTTAAAGTTTGTTCGTCCATTACAAAATTGCTCTACTAACTTCGAAACATCTTTTTGGCTCCCATGGCCCACAATTCGGTGCAAATCCCCTTAGCTTCTGATGCATCATTTCTTTTCTTTCTTTTTTGGTTCTACAGTTGTTGTGACGTTATTAACTGTTGCTCACCTTTTGAATTGGAGCCAGATTCTTGTACTCCCTGTACACTGGCTCCAATGATTCAATGTGCATGGCAACCACACCTGTTTGACCATAAACATAACAAAAAAAGGGGTCTTAACACAGAATATACTACATGTATGTATATGTAAGTATCTGTGGGTTGATGGCTCCATCACTGGTTCCCCTAGAGAAACATGTCTTGACATAATTACGTCCTAAAGCGTCTTTGTACAAAGAGCTACCCAGTAACAGTTGTGAAGAAACCCACAACTCCTTCAGTCTACTAGGATGAAAATACTTCTTGTCGGCTATGGGCTGATCAAATGTCGCTATATCACCCCAGGAAAAAAGTCAAAGTTATCTCAGTCCAACTGACCTGGAATCATTGTATACAGAGACTTTAAGTGCTCTTGACTAATCCCAGCCTCAGTGCCAACACGGTCCACAAAGCGACAGACAAATTTTGTCACTTGGTCAGCAATGGTCCCACCATCTTCATCATCCATGTACATTTCCCACCCCCCGCTATCTGTAATGTAGCTTCCTACTTCACTGTTTGCTGAAATCACATTAAAAGATGCAAGATACAAATCATCATGACATTGACCTCTCTCAAAGGCAGACCACAATTATTTATACATTAATTTCAAGACCAGCTTTAGCAGTCTAAATTTAATGCAAAATTAGTCAGCAAGCGATGTCAATGATCTGGAGGCATCTAACGCAGCACTGGTGTCTGCTCTTGGAAGTCACCTTTATTATGGTTGATAGTAGCATAAAAAATTTCCCTCACAGGCTGGACTTGGATTGCATCGGAGGAGACACGCATTAGTGAGCTTATTCAAGAACAATGATTTCATCTAAACATCATTTACTGTGAACAGTTTTATTAAAGCATATAGAGAAGACTAGAAAAGGATTTATCTTCTTAAAACAATCCACCAAAGAAGAGATCCGGAAGTTCAAAGATTCTTTAAACCATGGCTTAAGTTACACTTCATTTAAATATTTGGCCCAATAGGTTTAGCAAGCAAAACAACAACTTTACACGTGCATCACCCTTTTTGTACATTTCTTTGCCGTTGCTGCACGACTATAATGTAACGTAACATATGCCTAATTTCATGTTTTGTCGACAACATGAACACAAGACAATGACTTTCTTTTTCTTTTCCTGAACTTTGATACAGTCTTTTAGAATTCAGCTCCAGAAAACTTTTCCAACATTTGAAAAATTGAACGAGTTGGAATAAGTGTGATAAAGTTTGAAGTAGTGTGAATTTAAGTGATATTTTTGTAGCCATCGTCGTAATAATTGTTGCTTAAGCTCTGTATTGGTACAAAAACCCACATGCAAAAAGTCCCTGGCACATAAGCCCCACCTCCCAATCCTGATAACTCAAGATCCAAGTAGATCAAAAAAGGTTAATGCCAACCCCTCTACCCATCACCCTAAAACCCCTGCATGCTGTTCAAGCCTATGGCAAATAGCCTTCCACCACTGACACTCTTAACGGTTGTTGGCCAAGAGTTTTCATTATGATCGTTGTTTGGTTTTCGTAAGTTTTGTCAGAGCATGCAATCTAGGGAGCGTTTTCCCTTTTTTGCTCTGTTGTACTATTACAATGTTTTGTAATAAAGGTCAGGCGGTATGGTTAAACTTGACATGGCTCCCAGTTGTGTGTGAGAATTTCCTGATCCACAGTTATTGCGCTTACAAAAAACGGAAACTAAAACTTGGGTTTTTTCAAGCAAAGAATTAAAAATTAATACATACCAACTGTCCCATTTACTATACTTTCTGCATAGGTACCATTCACAGATCCCTCACCATCCACGTGAATTGAACCTAAAATTCAAAATGTCAGTAAATGAAGGCCGCTACAGCTGTACACATTATTATTTAAACCTGGACAAAAAAAATAACAGGAACTTGTTCCCAAAATCTATAACAAAATTACCCAATCTATAGGAATTGGCTATCCTGGCCTCCCTGATTTCAGCATTAATAGGAGAGTGTACTAGGACAGTTCGCATCATGTCTAAGTAACTGGACAGTAAGTGCCACTATGCATGGCACTTTAATGGGATTTGTTTTTTAAATTTAACTAAAAATGCTCGGAATATTAATTTTTGTGTTTTAATCCTAAAAAAGCTTAAAATATCACAAAATTTGGTATAGTTATGATAAATTGGTAACAGAATTCCATGTCATCCAATACTCGCGATTCAACAAATCGGATGACTGCAAATTATTTGTTAATCATTCACAAGATTATAGACTGAATAGAACTCCACTCAGTCCTATTACCATTACAAAATACATGTCATTCTTGATGAGACAATAACAAAATAAAATTAATTGATTAAAAAATAATGTGTCAAGAGAAGGGACATTTGAGTTTGTATTAAAAAGGCCAAACCTGTTACAGGAGTGGGCACAGGAGTGGGTGCAGGCATCTTCTCACTAGCGTCAAGAGGTATCCTCATGTACACCATACGATTAGCATAGTGAATTGCTTGACTGTACACAATGCCTTCTTCACTGTTAATCAAACTGTCTTGCTCCATCTTGGAGTAGTTGGGCCATTTCTTGAGCTAAGGAAAGCATAAAAGAATAACAACATTGTACTTCTATATTAATTATTTTGCCGTCTTGTCTTGGGTGTATTCTTGGTGTTTTTGTGGCAGCAGCAAAGAGTTTGTAACAACTCTTGGAGCAAGCTGGTTCACTCAGTGGACATCTGGCACAGTTACATTAACCCCAGGTGGTGATGTATAAAAATAGTATCCTTCAAGTAATCATGTAATGGGGACTTCAAGTTCGTAAACATCAACTACTGAGGTCTTCTTAGGCAGGGTACTTATGTCCATAGCCTGCATTTTAAGTTGTTGGCTAGCATAATTATTGAAGATGAGGCCACACTGTTGGCATTTTACTATTATATTTGTGATTTTCCTCGTTGCTGTCACACTTTGTTGTTTGTCACCATTTCGCTTGTTTCATCTTGCTGTTTCAGCTCAAGGCCATGTCACTTATCTGAATTTTGCTGTCCCTTGTTTTGCACTGCGAACCCTCTACTGCGCATATTACTGCGACATCCAAGATGGTGGTGGTTCTTCCTGCTACAGCCAAAAGAACAAGCAAGGGCCGCTTTTGCAGAGCTAAAGCTTTTATGCGCAATAATAATGCTGCAGATCGGCTTGGGTCACAACTAGCTTGCATAGCAAGCGTTTCCTCACGAGGTTCGTCTAGAAAGCTGGGGCAAGAGCAAAAAAAAAAAGAATGACGGGGGAGGGGGAGGGGAAAGAAGGAACCGCTTGCCCGCAAACCCCACGATTTTGAAAAACTGCGTTCGCCCACGAACGCAGCCTCTGATTGGTGCAGTGCGGGTAGTGTTGATTACTTAGCATTCGAAACATCAATCAAACCAGGTATGCTTTGTTTTCGTGCATCACAGATTTGGTCTCATCTAATTTGTGGTCGCAGATTACAAATGCTTTGGACTGATATTTATTGGAATCGTGTTTGTGCGAAGGTTTATGAGATCAGGGCCTTCAAAGTATAATTGGAGATCGAGCAGTGGAGACTAGGGAAGGCCAATTTATTGAGAATGACGGCGTGCGGATCTGACTGGTAAAAATGGACTGTTTGTTGGAGATAACATCAACATAAATCAGAACATCGGTACTCGACACTAGCTGAAGCCGCCATGGACGAGCGATTTGTCAGCTTTTTGAAATGAAAAGATGCTTTTTGTTTATTGGAAATTTAGCAGCATCTATTGTAGAGAACGTTTCGACACAGGTTGAAGAGCAGCCGCTCTGCAAAACTTATACCCGGCGGAGTGAATTGTTCCGGACAAATCATTTTTGACGTGTCGTTAAGGTTTCAGACGAGATAAAGCCACACGATAAAAAAAACAAGAAATTCCGCAGCAATCGCTCATGGTTTTAACTTTATTTTATCATAAATCTTTTTTATCACAGTTCTTGCAATCGCCTGCAATGTGTTCTATTAGACGACAAAGTAATTTTACAAATCTGGTAATCCTGGGGTAATCTGTTCGTTATGTTTCTATTTTGACGAGCTGTCAATTTACAAATGAACTGAACCGTGAAATATCAAGGGGCGTTTTCCAGAATCGTGGGGTTTGCGGGCAAGCGTTTCCTCTTCTCCCCTCCCCCTCCCCCTCCCCCTTCAATCTTGTTTTTGCTTCCGCTCTACCTTTCGCGCAATAACTCGATTGGAAACGCTTGCTACGCAGGCTAGGTCACAACTTGCATATTTTTTTAAAAACCTTATTTAATTTTAGTAACACTTCAAGAGGTTGCAGTCAGTAAGAAGTGTTGCTTTGAGCCATTAATTTTACCAGTTACCGCCTGATAAGGAGACACTGCATGAATAGTATTGCTAGGATACTTTTAATAGACAGTATAATATTTCTCTCTCTCTTGCACTGAGATGGTAGAGAGCTTGAGCAATCATTTCAGCAACAGCAGCGAAAAAGTCATTTTGAAAAGTAAATTTGCCTTGTTTATTTTCATTCAATTTATGCAATGCTGGGGAATTTGAAGTTGATTTGAAGTTGATTCCAAGGCCTGTATCTATTTTTGGTAAAAAAAAAAAATTGTTGTTCACACCCTACATAGCATGAAGTACCATGTTGTAGTCATGCAACAACCCTAAAGAAATCTACAAAAAAGCATGATGCACATGCAAAGTTGTTGTTTGGCAAATCTAAACCTATGCCTTTTTTGCCATTCTCATTGCTGTCCCTGTCATTATTGCTTAAGCTTCCTACTAACATCCCACAAACCTGCTTAGCAGCAATGCTTAATGCACTTGGCACTGGCTTCTGCTCTGCTTGCTTGGGCTGTTCCAGATCACTGCTACTTCCAGACTCCTTGGGTTGAGATGCAAGATTATCTCTACTTCTTGAGATGCTGCGGTGCTTTGTTACTGGTGTTAAGCTTGCGCGGGATGTACGTTGCTCTTTCCTATCAAGTGTGTCTTCAGTTATGGCCTTTGGAGCTTCTTCATCAACATACAACTGCTTTATTTGTGCTTGGACATCTGCGTAAAATGCTTCTTCCCAAAAATTCTGCCGTTCCCAGATTGGGTGGTCTTGGACACAGGTGTAGGCAAACTGAATAACACCAGCATTGAGTTTCTAGCAACAAAACAAAAATTTGTTCATTTACTGAGTTAATGGGAAACTTGTAGCGCACTAGCAACAATTCAAACAGCTCTATACTACAAGTATGTAACACTTCAAGAAGAGTCCAGTAGTCAGCATACTGTAAATATAACCCCTGTTATAATCATGCGGTGTGACAACAACAACAACAAAAACTACCTTTCACGCACCATTCATATCATGGGCTATGGGTGGGCTACAGCAAGCTCATAACTTGACTGATAGCGGCTGCCAGTGGTGCCTTATATGCTGAAGTCCGAGCTTACTGTTTACTTGTTAATATGGGAAGAGAGTGCATCTTGTTGTCCTCTAATCCATGACATTACATTACAATACAACAAAGTAAGCCATTTCCGAGTTCTAAAAACTCTCACTTTCAAAATGAGGGTAAGTGCAAACCCTGTCCTGTGAAAATGACTTTTAACTGCATGAAAATAAAAAGCCATTTAACATCAAAGGCATCACACTTAACCTCACTTTGAAACAGGGGCTTGGGGTAACGTGGAAATCCCCTGTTACACCAGCTATCTTTCCTTAGAAGATCTAGACAGAATACTAGAATAGAAAGTCTGTTACCCTGCAGAATGTGGCAGTGAGAGGCAAGAGTGCCGCAGCCACTTCAGTATTACTCATGCTAGCATCATCCTACAGACAAAACATAAGACAGTTTGGAAAGATTACCACTGAAGTTAAAAAATGAAGACATTATTTTAATTAAATGACAGCAATCACACTTTTCAGTTCTTCAGGGCTTGAAATTATCTTTTTCATTCAAACTGTTAGGAACATTTTGGTTGTCAATTTATACCTTATGGTTAGTTGAGGTTTGTCCCCTACCTCTAAATTCATTTTTTTCCATGCAATGTTTATCAATGTGTGCTGCATGTTGGTTTGTTTACTTAAGGACTGTTCGCACATTTGCAACTGGTATAGTACTAGTTCATTGGTAGGATGTTACAGTGTACAAATATGTTGTCTTGTCTTTGACATTTTTCTGTTAACAGTCACATTAGTAACCAGTGAATCTTTATTTTCAGCCCTGTTCCTGCACTCTCAAGGCTTCAACTACATGTATCTATTTCTGTGATAAAGCATGATACACTGTAAAAATACACATGTATCTCAAAGTGGCCAAGTCATACATAATACTCAGCCAGGGGATATTATTTGCAGGAGATAAGGCTGACTAAGTAGACATTTATGTGCACTTACAGAGTTGAAATGAATGGCGAAAGAATAATAAGGCTGAATAAATTTGTTTATTTTGTTAAAATAAGAGGTTTTCAAGAAATAATCAAGAATCAGTCAAAGTTAACAACAAACCTCTAATGCCCTGTTCATGAGTCTGACAACTAAGTCAAACTGGTCATGCTCCAACAAAGATCTGTTCTGTTTTACTCTAAGAGAGAGTTCATGGCACAAGGCTAACTGAGCACCTTTGGACTTGAGAGCTCGAAGCACTGATTCAAGAGTCTGTTTAAGGTAACAAACACTTCAGCATAAACAAAATATAAAAAACATGATGGCCTTATTTGACTACGATAAACAAAAAACTTTTGCTTTTTCTTTCTTTAACAAATTTCTAGCAATCCAAACAAATTTTGTTTTTCTAAAAATAGTTACAATAAGACTTGTCATGTATCCCTGCACCATAACTAGTAAGAGACAGATCAAGACACTTGCCTTGGCAAAATTTTGCCTTTCTTTTATGTGTCATAGAGAAAAAACCTTCGCTAATATGTGAATTATTAAAAAAGTACAATCATAAAGGAATGGTCTTAACTTTTTTTTCTGAATATAGCATTTCTAGTAAGAATTAAGTTTTGACGAGTCGCAGACCTGTTTTCAGCACCTTTTCAGTTAAAAAAAAAAAACAGAATGGTTTTACAGAAGAAGGGAAATTAATACTTCAACCTACAATATTGTTTGGAAAGAATTGGGTTATGTCAGTCAGATGTGTGTAACGAATGGACCACACTCTAATTACTGACTGCATAATTTTGAAAACAGCAAAATACAGTGGAATGTACTTTCCATTTGTCAAGTATCATCCATTCATGGTTTAACTTTGTAATCAAGTGAAGTCTCATCACCTTCTTTTTAAAAAAAATTTTTGGATATGACACTACTTCACACAAGCTACTGGCTACATAGCAAATTTAAAAAAATATTATTTTTTAATACGTTTAACTTTACTGCTAAGAAGAAGATTCTGATGGTACTATTTAAGTGGAATACCTTCCTAGCCTCAGATATCTGGTTGTCAAAGATGTATGCTACACAATCTCTCAACACCTCCAGCTTCCGACTTGGAATATAATGCTGTTGCTTGCTTGATACTAAATTTGATGGCACAACACAGGGTTCAGGACTTTTAACCATGTAAGGTGCAGCTACATTCTCCTGCTGGTCTATGTAGCAGTTAATATCTGATTCACTCAGCTCAGGAAACACCAGTTTATCACATAAATCTGCCTCATCAGAGGGAACAACAGGCTGGACAGTGTTTTCATTGGTGTCACAAGAGGGTTCCTGTCAATGAATAAGTAAATGAGTATAGGTAATAGCATGATTTGTAATGATATTTGGCATAAACACCACCAAGTTTTAGCCTTTCACTATACTCCTAGCCCCCAATGGACATGTTAAACATCAAATTTGTTGTCAGGTTAAAAATGTTTAACCTACAACTGTACCTGTAGGTTGATTCTTGATTTCCTTTGTCTACTAGGGCTAGAGGACAAAGGAAATTGAGAATCAACCTAGGTTAAATCAAAATTAACCTGAGATCAAATTTGATCTGGAATAGATACATTATACATGTACATTTAGGAAAACCAATTGCACTATCCAGAGGGTAATGATTTATCCCATGGATAGCACTGTGCACCTTTGGAAAAACTGGACCGTGGTAAAAAAAAACATCCTCAGCAAAATAGAACATTTCTTTGTCCTATAAAGTTAAGTCAAGAAACCTTAATCAATAAGCACCTGCTGGTTTAAGCCCCACTTCAACCAAAAAATGGCATTTAAGAATGACAGCTTCGACCAATAAAAGCATGGCATATCACAGAGTTGGTCACTGGAACTTACATTATCGTAGAGCTTCTGGGCAAGTTGCTCAATGCTAGCTTGTACCTCAGCATCCACTCCTCCTTCACCGTTAAGAATGCTGTCAATCTCGACACAAAGCTACGAACCAACCATTATGAGAATTTACAACCACATACCATGTTAAAATGTCACAATCTAAGACACAATGTCGTTAATTCATGTCTGTTCAGTCAATCACTAATTTGTTTATATCAACAAAATGTTTGATCTCTTTCCCCCTTTGCTACTTACTTTGAGGAAGTTTATGCTTAAACAAACCAATTAAACCACAATATAAGCAGGGTTTGCAAATTTTATTGATGAGTGGAGTCAGTGTGACTTCTTCTTCACAAATTTTGGAAACATTTTGGAATAATTATTTGGAGCCAAGTATCAGGCTTTCCAGCACGTGGTTGTGGCATGTATACACTATCGTGAGGGATACACGAAGTAGCTGTGGTGGTCTGCTGACCTGGAAAGCTCAAATCCATGATGGCAGTCATCGAGTAAACTTTGATCGTAATTTACCTTTTTCCTGTTTTGTTGTGCAGTATAATTCTTTAATTTCAATGATTTAATTAAGGTTTACAACGTTTACAATTAACGCAAATTGTATTTGTTGCAAAAAAGGTAAGGACAAAACTGTTTTTGTTACCAAAAATTTCTGGAGTCGAAGTGGCTCCCTGTTTGTTAACCAAAATTTTTGGAGTCAAAGTGACTCCCTCCGTAGCCTCAGTGGAGTCATCTGAACAATTTTGGCATAAAATATGCCAAATTTGGCGTATTTGCGAACCCTGATATAAGGGACAGGGAAGGCACGGTTTTTTTTGACAAGAGGTTTATTATTATATGACTGGAATCAAGGGCTGACTGAATTGGGCGTGAACGACCTCAATACTGTGTGGGAATGTACTCCAACCTTCCTCCCATGAGCCTTTGCACTTCCAGACAAGGCACTTTCATCAGTCAATTTATTCTATCAATATTGCAAAACTGAAATTATCTGGACAGCACATTGTGCTGGGAAAATTGCATCAACACAGTAACGGACATGTACCTGGTCAAATAAATCACACGTTCTGTAAGGAGGACCTCGGTGTGCCACAAATGATAGAAATGAAATGCTCTCTAAGACCTGGATAATAAAAGCACGGAGAATTAAAAAAAAATACTGTGAATGAAGCTTTTTTCTGATTTAACTTCTATAGGAACAGAATAATAATTGCTTTATTCAAGAAGTATTTGAGTACACAGGTTACAATCCATTAACACAGGTAACAAATTGCCTGAGAATTCTTGGTACTCAGTTGCTGTTCCTCCATGTATTACACTCTTGCCACTATGACTGCAAGAATGCCTTTGAAAGGAGGAAGCAGTGATTTGATTCAGCTTTCTTAGGCACTTTGAAACCTTCACTGACTGTCACAGTCAAGCAAGGTCAAGTGTACCTTATGGATTCTATGAACAAACTGCTCATTGGAGTCAAGTCACCTTGCGCTTTTTTCTACACATCTTCCTCTACATAATTTACGGTGGAACCTTTCCTTTGGGACACCCCTGTTCAAGGGACACCTCCATTCAGGGCAAACAACAATTTTGTCTTGGAAAAATGTCCACATAGTCTTTGTATCTGTTACCTCTATTGAAGGGACACCTCTATTCAGAGGAAAGGGACACATTGTATTAGTCCTAAAACCTGGGTTTAACCTCCATTCATGGGACACCTTGGCACTCATAACATGACTGACCACAAAGAAGGTTGATACCTTTAAGTGTACACTAATCAGTGATGGCACCTTTCACAAACTGAACAATCTCACTTTAATCAATGAACTGCACTTGCATGAATTCAACATACATGTATAACATCACTGAGATAAGTTTATGAATTTTTATTGTCTTTGTTGGCTGGTTATTAACAAACCCCAACCCAACCTCTATTCAGGGGACACCTCTATTCAAGGGACACTTGCTTCGGTCATGAGGGTGTCCCCTGAATGGTTGTTCTGCTGCAGTTAAATGCAATTTCAACAGCAATGGATGAGCGTAGTGCCTTAGAAAGTTTATAAAATTTTCCAAGGCCTCTTCAAAGACCACCTTTCTTTTCAGTGGCTCTCCCTTTAATTTAATAAAAATTTTCCAGGCAAAACATTATTCTACATGTAAATCACATGCACTTGCCAGACAGCAGTCAGTGCGGATAAGTCTCCCTTTGTAGAAATCACAGTATAAACACCTCTATAGGGAACAACTTCCTATTGGCTCCTTACAGCTGTAGATATTACCTCCTTCTTCTCTAATATTCACATCAGTGTTATGGCTAAGAGATAATTGGTTCAATTTTTCTGGTGTCTGTATCAAGAAGGGTTGACAGAATACTGACCAAATTAATCCTCTTAATGCACACTTCAATAACAATGTTCATTTACCTTTGACAGAAATGGATCTCCAATCATGCCTCTGTACTCAAGGAAAGAAACCTAAAAAAGCCAAATTTAGTTATGCTCCTTTTACGTTGTAAGTTACGGTTTCTACGTAGTTCAGTATTTAATTACTGGGAAGGGTGCTCAGCAGTTTACAGAAAAACTTCACAATCATAATATACTCCTCAGGAACCATGACATTAAAACCAAGTGTAAAGGACAATAAACAGAAGCCCAGGAAAGTACATGCTCCCGTTAGTTTTCCTTAAGTGGACAGACACAAATTTTATCAACAGTTTTCAAAAGAGCTTATCACCAGCTCAAATTGAAAGGAAACAAAGACGTGTGGGAATTTTAGAGATGTAGATAAGTAAAACAGCTGGCTTGACTATTAAAAAAGCCTGCTTATCATTTTCTTAGCTACATCCCTGCTGTACAAGTTATTTGAACAGTTAGACAACCACAAAAAAAGGAAAAGGAAAGAATGAATGAATGCATGAACGCATGAATGCATGAATGAAAAATATGAAAAAATAATCCCTCATTTGCTTCTTATGTCTTGGAATTTAATAGTTGTAGTAAACATAGAACTTCTGCTAATTATTTTTGTATGTACCTTGTTGAATGTTATAACAGGCTTAGGATGTATTCTGATCAGAGTAAGGCAGGATCGATAACCAGAAAACAGCTGGGCAAGAAGTCTGATAAACACAGCTCGCAATTCCTTGTCCTTTAAGATAAAAATAGTAGCAAGACTTGTCACTTTGAGAAAAAACAACAACAGCAGCAACAACAACAAACTAAAGCAATGAGCTGGTTCAAGCAAATGTCACTCCTCCTAGAAAAAATATTGAGAGTGACTGAGGTTTTTACAGTAAAACCAAGTCAACAATATTCCCCATAGTTTCTATAAATAAATGGATGGATTATTAGAAACTGAGAAGTTGCAGTCTAAACTTCACTACTCATTATGCATGTAAAGGAGAAACAACCAACGGCACTCCTGAACTTGTGTAGCCAAAACATTTAGAAAATTCAATAATGAACATGAAGTGGAATTTCCAACAGGCAAACAAGTGAGAGGGAGTTTGATCCGACATGTATAAACCCTCCACTGAGGGATTATGTGTTGTAGACACAACACATTTTGTCTCAATGCCTGATGACTCCTCTAAGCCTTGTCATGAGTGAATTATTTTCTTATCTGTCCGCAAGTTTTACAACCACTATCTACACTGTAACAGCACCTCAGATATTTCCAGCACTACCAGATAATTTATTTTTATAGGCACAGGGATGGAAATAATCTTCTTTACAGAGAGGCATTTTGTTGACCAGGTCACTATTTCAGTCTGACAAACTAGAAAAGTACTGTTGTAAAGCTCGTATTAAAGTGAATAGAGTTTTAATTCTAGCTGAATGATCTCATCACCTCTGACCACAAATAGAATTTTGAAAGACAAAAGGCCAGTTTTAGATGGATATTGTTTAATGACTTTCAGTTGCTTGTCGTTGTTGCTCACCTGTAGCTCTGGGGGAGATGGTGAAGTTGGAGCTTGAAAAGCACAGTCTGCTGTCACAAGTTGTGGATGTAACACCTGCAGATGAATGACAAACTTAATAATTATTTTAAAATTGATCATCATCTTAATACTTATCACTCTTTCTCCTCATAAGTCCAGACCAAACACATAATTTCCTGTTTTACACAACATAGAGTAACCAGGCCTGTTACCACTGGAAGGGGTGCCAAAACTGTTAAACCCAATAGGCTATGTTACAGGCCAAAATCAAATTCCGCTTAGAATTTTTCAACCTAGGTTGATTCTCTATTTTCTTTGTCTCCTGCCACTGATTTTTCATGTATGAGGGCTACAAGGCAACGGAAATTGGGAAAAAAACCTAGCTTAAATACTTTTAACCTGAATTTATTTTTGACCTGTACATAACATAGCCATACTGGGTTTAAGAGTTGTGGCCCATTTGGCTTTTTTCTTTTTTCGGTTTTCGTTTTTTTTGTATGATGACGTTAGAGCAAGTACGTGTGTATCAACCCACAGGCGGCCCAAACTCACGTTACGAGGGAAAGGTGTAATGTAATTTACATACCATAGGTGATGCACCGCTGTTGCGTTACAGGCAACCATTGAAAATATAAGAGACTTTATATGAGAAATATATTACTGAGATCTGCGAATGCTAAATGATGCTAAACCTTACTTTTTCTTAAATGAAATGAATAAAAATGACTTACCTGCAATGTATTCCACTGCATTTTGGTGTCTGTTCGTCGTTTTACTGTTTTTTTTGGCTTTATTGCATAACCACTGTTACTCCTTTCATAGAACAAAGTGAAGGCTGGTCACTTTGATCTGGCAGGGTCCTGGACCAGTCGCAACAAGAATGCTGTTGTTTTCGCCGAAATTCAAATCTGCTGCAAATTTTTCACGTCCAGCGTAAAAGGGAAACCTGTTCTTCCTCTCTGAGAGATCAGCTCGAAAAACGATCCATAAATTTCCCCATCAAATCGAGCCATTTGTGCCGCACTTCGAAGCACGTCTGACTTTGGTACAGTGCCTGTGACCACTGTTGCACTTACCAACTAATTTGCATTATGACAATTAGCACTTACACGACGGGTGCAAGGACTCCCTTTTTCACAGTGCAAGAGCCTAGTTGACGTGCCATTTCTGCCCTTGCACCCGTCGTGTAAGTGCTAATTGTCATAATGCAAATTAGTTGGTAAGTGCAACAGTGGTCACAGGCACTGGACGAAAGCCAGACGTGCTTCGCAGTGCGGCACAAATGGCTCGATTTCATGGGGAAATTATGGATCGTTTTTCGAGCCGATCTCCCAGAGAGGAAGAAGAGGTTTCCCTCTTGGGCTGGAGCTGAAAAATTTGTAGCGGATTTGAATTTCAGCGAAAACAACGGTACTCTTGTTGCGACTGGTCCAGGTCCATGCCAGATCAAAGCGACCAGCCTTCACTTCGTTCCATGAAAGGAGTAACAGTGGTTACGCAATAAAGCCAAAAAAAACGGATAAAACGACAAACGGACACCAAAATGTGGTAGAATACATTGCAGGCAAGTCTTTTTATTCATTCCATTTAAGTAATATTTTATATTAATATTCAGTAATATATTTCTCATACAAAGTCTCTTATATTTTCAACTGTCGCCTGTAACGCGACACCGGCGCGTCACTTATGGTATGTAAATTACATTACACCCTTTCCTCATAACGTGAGTTTGGGCCGCCTGTGATCAACCCTACAAACATGCACACCAACCCATACTGCAGAAACCTGCCGAAACAGTGTATCTTAAGGTCACTTAAGTCTGCAAACTTACCAAGGTTAATTCATGTCTTGTTCTTCCAAGAAAAGGTTCTGGCAAGGACGCAAGGTTAATGGCATCAGGGAAGAAGACATGTCCTCCATCAATATCCACAAGAATTACATCAGCCTGTAAAAATATAATTATAACACATTTTGTAAGGATACATGAAAAGCACTGTCAGATGAAATTCACTTTTACATGAGCACTCAAAATTCTTCAGCTGGAAACATCTTTATTGCCATAAGCTGCCAAAATACATCTTAAAGGGAGGAGAATATTACCCAAAATCATGGGTCTGGAAATATTTTGATCCAATCTTAAAATCCTGCACACTTTGGTGACAATTTTCAGTTTTATCTCTGCATGTTTCCTTCCATGAGAGAATCAATAATTTACCTCTCAGGTTCACATTTTAGAACAAGGGTCTCATTGTCTTAGTGAGTCTCAGTTTTTACCATTTGCTTCCCTTTACTTTGAGATAAGGGCTAGAATGTTGAGTTAGATACATTACTCACCAAATCAGGTACCACATTATCTTTGTAGCCATCGTGTACTCCCATGATGTAGGGAGTTGGTGCACTCAGGAACTCCAGCAAAGCAGCTGGAAGGATTGGGATGAACACATAACTGAATAAAAAAGAGGAATATGGTTAACAACAGGAAAAAGTAATTCTGTAGAGTGATTTGTATGTGTAAATCCACTGCATACTGTAACTGATGAAGTGGATTTAGGTGAAAACTAAAACTGAGCTACCGACTACACCAATATGAACAGATGAATTCAATCTAGCTGACAAGTGTCCTTTGAAACAATGAAAGTTGTGACAAGGAGGTACTCATTAATTTTTAATGTTTACATTCTCAATTCTCCAGACTTTTTACCCCAGTTCCATTAAGTCTGGAAAATCTTAAGGACTGTACACATATCTCAGTTTAATCCATTTTAACTGAAAAAGAAATGATCATCAGGGCCCGGTTCCTCGAAAGATGGTTAAGTTTAACCAGGGATTAAGCCAAATTTTAAGCATGGTTTTCTCATCTAAGAACATGCAGCTTGAGGTTACGATACTGTTGAGCCTTTACTATGAGATACTGTAATGATAACACAAAATGTTACCCTAAGCAATGCATAGGAATGTAAAATACAAAAAATGGAACAAAATTTTAATCCTGGGTTAATGCTAATCGGCCTTTCAGGAACTGGGCCCAGAACAATAATTTTCTTTGGTTTCCCAATGCTTTTGTCTGCAGTAAACACTTTCACTTGGAACACATTCAGGATAAAATAAACTTATAATTATTCAAGATTGTCCTTTGGGCACGCAGTTCTCTTGTATGTCTTAGTTAATGATTTTATTAGAGGTTGACTTGCCTACACCCTTGCCCATTGGGCAAGTGAGCTTTAATAGTTATGTACTTGCCCAGCAAGAAAATCTACTTGTCCTGGATGACCTGACAGGACATTTTTCAAGCCCTGACATTGAAATTGATCAGCTGTTCCACTATACCTGAACTTTAGTGGATACATTAGAGCTAGCATGGCTTGAGTGGCATGTGTCAACTGTGAATAGCTGCTGGAGTAAAATAAGATTTTGTTCTCTGTCAATGCAGCACAGAACAAGGCCAACATGTTGTGGATACCTGTTCAGAAATAGGATAACAACCTGGTAAGTACACATGTACATGTAGTAATGAAAATAATGACAACTGGATATTTTTATTGATAAAAGATACTACCTCCCAACAGTTGTACATAGTACAAATTTAAATCAGCTGCAAACTGAAGGGATACATTAAGCATAATACCAAGATATGCCCTACACCTGTATATACTGAAGAGTGTAACATTACTACAGTGTATATTACTAAACATACCAACTTAAGATAAAATAATAGTATCAAATGTTTGTTGCTCAACCAAGATTTTGGAAGTAGGTTTTGGACCCACAAGCCCAAGTTTTACAGTAGACCATGTCATTTGACAAAAAAGGTACAGCTGAGCAACATGTTAACTTGTGGAACACCATGCATTATTTTTTTTTTCAGGCTGGGCATACACATGCACTAGGAATTCACAGATGATTTATGCATAGTACAGTGTATAGCATACATACATACATACTTTATTGAGACTCCCTTCAACAGGGCTTTTCAATCACAATGTTAATTATTACATGATACTGGTAATTAACAAAAGAAAAGAAAACTTATTTACAGTCGTTCAATTAAATTCAAAATACATTCAAAATTATTCAAAATACATTCAAAATTATTTAGCATGAGAGCTGATTACACCAGACTTGAGCCTGCATTTATTATTTCCAGTTGTTGCTTCTCTTCACCCAAAAAGTAATCATTCCTGTCCTGCCCAAGACATTAAAATATACTGTTAACCTTAAACCAAGATAAAGTAAAACCTACCAAGCTGATTGAACAAGATGGCAACTGATTTTCCTGTCACAGGAAGCGTCTCAGAGGCAGGAGGTGATAGAGTGTGACGATCGCCAGCTCCCATGGAAAATGTCATCTTGGGTCCACCAGGAGGTGGCACCTGAACAAATCCCAAGATACAGCCGACCAATCCTTCTAGTGACTTAGTGTTTCCAGAGAGGAAGGATAAATAGATTGTGGTCAGGCAGTTCTGCAATAAAGATGGTTTCACATCAGCAGGAACAAAAAAATTGACATTTATGTTTTGGTAATAGACACGGGAAGGTTAAGGAATGGCAAGGAGACTTCTAAAGCATGTACTGCAACAATACACCAATGCATTGGTGGAGTGTGATATTTCTTTCCACGATACAGATATCAATATTTAAACAAAATATGCCAAAACAAAGAAATTAAATTTCTTTAGTGGCATCACTCAAGATTTTAACAGTTTCTCTGCAAAATGCCAATGGTATGATGAAGGGGTGCATGGGATGAGTGCCTAAGTGTCTCTTGATGTAAAAGCAACTTCTCTCTGTGATTAATAAGACAAGTATAACCAAGGCAAATTGGAGAAAGAAACTTGAACTTTATTAACAGAAAATTGGGGCTTTATTCCACGCAGTAGAGGTCCATAATAATAGGCCATAAATGACTCTTAAGGTCACATCAAATAAATTATGTCCTTTGATTCACAAGTGAATAAAAGGCAATATTGAAAGACAATCTAGCAGTTGGTCAGAAATGTCTATTTTTTCTTCAGGAAGCCTTTCAAGTGTACATGTACACCGCAGCTTGTACCTATTTTCTGTCAAAAGGTCAGCAAGAGCCCACCTTGTATGGAATCTTGTCCAGAGGGAAGAGTTTTGTCTTGCAAGAATTAAGACATGATTGGTACAATTTATCTTACTTTCAAATAGTAAAACATGTTCAGTCACTCTCGCATTGTCACTGGGACTATGTTTAAGGGGTAGTTATTATAAATAATAACTGTCAAATTTCAGTGGGTCAAAATTGTTAACAGCATTTTCCATGTGGTGATAATGCTTGTCATAAAGTGTCAATCTAGTAAGGAGAGGTGAATAATAACAGGACAATAGGTTGCAGATATAAACAATTTGTTCATAATAATAGACAAACCTTTAAGATGTCAAAGTAGCTGGCTCTTGAAACAAGACATAAGCACTTTGGTGCAAAAACATCCATCAACACTGCCTCTTCTGAGTTAACAGAGATCCCAGGCATTTCAGAAAACCGTTTCTCAGACAGAGAAGAATCTGACTGACTCTCATCTCTAAATCCTTCCTTACTACTTGAATTTGCTAGTTTTTTCTTTGACTTTGTCGGAGTGCATCTTTCATGGAATGTGAAGCATGCACAATATCGGTGGTCTCCCTCCATATCTGTGAGCACAGCAACAAAGAAAGTGGGGGGCTTGTAGTAGTTTGAGTAGTTCCATCCTCCAGGCTGGCAAAACTGAGCAAAAAATAGAGATAAACGCTTAGCAATTGCATTACATTTAGCATGAGAAAAAAGCAGACATTTCACAATGTCATCACTGGTTCCCCTGTGAAATGACACCTGAGGAATGAACACATAAATTGCACGCCAATGTATGTAGAACTACCCAGATCTGGCTAGTACTTCTGTTTGTATATGCCACAAAGGAAATTTACTTCAACCAATCAGAAGCACTTCCCAGATCTGAGAAATGATCCATCATCAGAATGGATTTCTGTACTCATTCCCCAGGCCTTATCTCGCAGTGGTACACAATGTATCAGTACTGAATTTGTGAAATGTCAGCTGTTTTCTCTGGCTATATTGCATTTTGCCAAACACCAGGCCAATGTACTTTAGATCACAGTTGATGTCAAAATGTTGAAAGACCAAACAACTGGCTAACAAGCTGAGGGCAAGGTTGCTCACTGGTGTTATTACTACATAACTAGCAGAAGCCATTGGCTAGGAAGTGCGAGTGAACATGTGGGTTTACCTTGCAGGTGTGATTGATGAGATTGTGTAGGTGAATCAAATCAGAGAAAGCCCTTTTAGTTCCAGTGTCAACAAAAGGAATCACTGCCATAAACAAGACTCATATTTAATTCAACGATTTTATTCACAATTGCTTAGGTACAATTAACAACCTGCCAATGGTGAGGAGCGAGGAAAGAAGGCTGTATTCCCAGGCGAAGATATGATGAAACAGTAATGTCTGACACAAATTAAGTAATCATGACTGAATGAAGTCTTATTATTCAATCGAATATTCAATCCCAGTTCAATGACCAAACGCCGTTGATATCCAGTACAAAATAATGAAAAAGCTTTAGTTTACCACTGGAGTTTAAGGCCTATTGAAGATTTTAGGTGACAAGCGACATAACATGCTTGAAAACATATAAAAATATAAAAACCATAAACTGGCCGTCGAGTGAAACCTGAATAAATGTAATTTACATGGCTTTGCTAACACTCATATCTTACCAAAACCTTGTCCCGCACTAAGCTGAGATCAGGCTCTACTTTCATTCTCCTGGGTAAATACATGTACATTCCCAGCCGGCAAGGCGAATTGCAAAGTCTCACATTTAGTACAGTATCGATACAGTACTTGTGTACCTGAATTATGTGTGGTTGCGAATCGCATCACTTGCATGTGTATGCATGTGATTACAGTGACATCAGACTGACCTTAATTAAACTCAACACCGGGGCCTTTGTGGCCACATACCATGCATATCAGTCAACAACGCAAGCACCCCAAGAATGTGGACAGATTTTAGAAAAACCTCCAAATACAGTTAATGGAGTACCACTGACCAAGATTAGTCTGTGGGCTCCTCTTGTCGCCCACAATTATTTACTGAGGCCCCTCCTAAACTATCAAACGTTTTAGTCCATTGTCACATTTGTCTAGTACAACACTGCGTGGCTAAATGAGTGCACAACGTTCGAAAAAGACATAAAACAAAGCGAGCTCACACAACACTTTCTGAGCATTGCCCCTGAGAGTTAACGACTTGGTGTCTTATTGGTTGCTTTTGCCCCTTTGGCGGGCTTCGTTAGCAAAAGTGGCTCAATGATCAAATCACACTTTGTGTTGGACAAAAATATTAATGCAAAAGGGCAAAGTAAAAATAATGCAAAGTTAAGAAACATCTAAACTGTCAGACATGCTCTTAGCTTTTAAGATGATATTGGATGAAAACGTTTGACTGTTTGTTAGTGGCTTAAAGTACAAACTATGAATTTCTGGAGCAAGCACTTTGATGGAAGTATTGTAATGCAAGTCTTTTTTCTCTGTACACAACAACAATACCTTTAAGGTGCAGTATAGTAAAAGACAAAAAATAGTTTTAGAATGTGCAGGAAACTAGAAATGCAAAGAGCCCACTAAAAAGGCCAGGGAAATTAAGTACAAATTGATCATCATTGAAAATAAACAAGACACACTGATAACATCTAATAAGATGTCAAGAAATTCATCTCACTGTAGGTTAGAGAAAGGGTTTTGAAATAAGATCAACACCAACAGACAATGAAAGATTAATAAAATGCAAACAAACCGGAGCAAATATTGTGCCTTGACACAAAACAGTGAATAAAATGTCCGTTTGAAATTCATACACTACAGGAACAAGTGCATACTTAACAGTTATGCTTTGGAAAGAAGAACAATTTCAAACCAATTCGATACACTGCATCACTCAGCGAGATTAATTCACAGGAAGAGATCCACATAAAAACCATTTTAACAACAATAAAACGAGATAAGTTTTAAGCCGCTAAATGATTAAAATCATGAGCAGGAACATCCAATATTACTAGGCAAACATTTTGAAATATACCGGTAGTAAACGTAGCTAAGAGCAGTATTACGTAAACTAGAACCACTGGCGTCGTGGCTTTTGAGCAACGCAGAACTTTCCCCTCATTCGTCTTTTAGGCGTCTTACAAGTCAAAGATTACAACAGGTCAGCATGATCGAAAGACTAACAATTCCATGCAATTGTATCATAATTACGCGAACCCACTTCATGCAGTTGAAAAGATTCCACCCAAGTAACACTTAGAAAGAACTTGAAAACGCCAGGTGTAATTCTTCACTTTTACGAATGGCTTCCTTTTAATACGCATGAAGACTTAAAGTAAGTGTAAGAATAGGCAGATTTGAACGGATGCTTGACAAAAGATTGAAATGAGAGCATTATGAATTGTGTTTCGCAAAGCTTCCGCGAAATTTCGTGAAACTTGTACGAGGAGAAATTTAGCCGGCTTTCAAAAGAAATAGGGTTACCAGTTCAATTCCTTCTGGAAAGGCTGCATCTTTGCGGTCTTTACTTGGGAAGCGCTGAATCACTCTTCCTCTGACTTCTTCTGAAAAGTAAAGACAGGGAGAAAGGTCGTCGGTGAGAAAGTCGCGAACTTTCCAGAGGCGTGCAATGTTTGTTTAACATTTTTTGCTTAAAGATGCACAACAAAGGGCAATTAAAGCGCTTTTACCATTCTTTGAGTCCCTGTCTATTCCACAAATGACAAAATAATCTGCAAGACGGGACATTTCTTGAGCTGGAATGTCATGTAGGCAACCATATCCATACACCCTTTCGTTTGGACGCCATTTTGGATTGGGCTACGCGCATGCGCTTCAGCCTCGACTTGGAAAGGTGTGGCAGACAGCCGGGGAGGTGTTTTGATCTTTTTGGCATTTTTTTGGACAAAGTTTAAATTTAAAACCTTCACTAATGTTACGAATGTCCTATTTTTTCCAAAGAATTTCATTTACAAATTTCAATCTCAATTTGACAGTGGTTTCGGCCTAATTCAACAGCGGTCTTCACAGTACAGGGGCAAATCCAGAAAATTCTGAAAGAGGTGGCCAGGACACATAACAGCTCTATTCTAGATACTGTTTATTTTCCTGCGATGGAATTCTATGAAAATAATACAGCATTTCAAAGGAAAAAGGGTGGCTGCAGCCCCCTTGGCTCACCCCTAAAATCCACCCATGCAGTAATGACAAAATGTCCTGTAATTATGATTGGTAGGGAGAGCTCCATAACATTATCAGGCGTCTTTTGGGGAAGGATGGGGAGAAAAAACCTGCATTCTAGGGAGCAGGCATGATCCCAGGCTATCAAAGACACCAATCAATGTCTCCAGTTCTCCCGGGAGGGAGGGGCGGGTACTCCATACTGCGGTGTTGGTAGTGTGTGCTTCATTTCATATTGCGGTCTTACTTCATAAAGGCCTGCTGGGAGGGAGACTCTGCCCAAGAGGGTTACTTTTTGATAAAATCCTACTTAAAAATGACAAGAGGTGTTCTTGAGTACGTATGTGATGGGAGCGTCAATGTCAGGTATACGCTTATCAAGTGATTCTGAGAGGAAGTCTTTGCTTTCTACTTTTGGTGGGGTTTGTAGAAACAAAAACCCTGGTCAAAATAATTAATAATTAAAGATTCTGTTATTTCTAACACATCTCAGGTCAAATTAGCCATTCAGAGTGATGTTGAGGGGGCTCTCTGTTTTTGGGTCTTCTGTAATCAGTCTTCATTTTCTACCCACCACCTTTTTTCCCACTTTTATCATGTTTTCAAGAAAATTAAATCTAAGCTAAATTGGAAAGTGCAAGGCCATATCACAACCACCAAATTATCAGAGGAAATGGGCAGCCTAAAGCCAGTATACCCTCATTTTTTCTTTGAACAGGACTACAGAGCAAAACTAAGGTTCCCCTTTCAATCACCACTGTCCCTTTAAGTGAATTATCTTTTGATCTTTTCCAGGGGCAGAGGAAGATGGAGGATGGGATGGGAGTCGATGGTTTAATATCTACCACAGGACTTGGTCTCTTCTAGCTGGCAAGCAAGTTGTCAACAGTTGGGGGTCAAGAATGATGGAGATAATAAAAGCCTGCACTCTTTTCCCTCCCCTATTTTAACTACCCCTCCTGAGCCTGCCTGCCCATAGGATAGGTATCTACTATTTGTCATTGTTATATTCCTAGACTATCACACAACTAAACGGGAACTGCCATTGGTTGATTCTTGGTCACATGGCCTTGACTAAAATCAAATGTATCCCAGTTGTGATACATTCAAGCAATTGTACCACGCTCGGTATACATCAGTCCGCACATGATCAAAGCATGGTGGAAAGTGGCTTGACAGAAGGTGGGAAAAACACTGCCAGTTTTCACTTTAGGGGGATGAACACAACATGGGGTCCACAACACAAACTTGAAGCCTCAAGCTTAAAAGCATGATTTTCAAAGTTATCCCTGTAAAGAAACAGCAGCTAGTGGAAGAAAAGAGGCAGATAATATAAGGAAAGTACTTTGTAAATCATTCATTCAGTGGTCTTGAGAATAAAATTTGTGTTCTTATAAGAGCTGAGTTGACTGTTTTGATTTGCTTTGGTTATTCTTTTGTCCCTGTTGAAGTGGAAATCTAGAAATGTAACAACACACTTAACGTCAGTTCCCTTGAGAAACCAGTTAGTTTTGTTTTCCCTAGAGAGCGAATGTTCCCCTTGACTTCACCTTGGGAAACATCAGGACTCTTAGCAAAAACAAAACTAACTGTTTCCCTTGGGATCTGACATCAAGTGTATCGTGTTTCCCTCTACAAGAACATGGATATACTGTTGTTAGACTTAATTCAAAATTGTATGACAAACCTTTTAAGGTTTAAAGGGTTAAAACCCTATAAGCCCCAATATCTACTTACAAATTCTCCAAACTGATCTCCATACATTTCCTTAAAGAATTAGTTGAGAGAATTTGATAACAGATCAAAGCATTTTCTCTTTAGTGACCATTTTATTGACTCTCATAATCATTTCTCTTGACAACATATGGACATTGTTAGGAGAAAATTGATGTTGGTCACTATTGTGACTCAAAGGGTTAACAATGTGACTTAGGCTATGTTCACACCTTACCGTACAAAAATTTAGACACCTAGCTGTTCACAGAGCAAAAGTATTGTACGGTCCTGTGTGGATGACGTGTCTAGTCAAATTTTTCAATTAAAGGATGGATGGAATGCTAGTTCAAAAAAACGATTATCTCAGAATTTAATCCTTTCAACAAAGAGAAAGAAGGATATTCTTGTTTTATCAAATATTCAGAGAGTGACAAAGGAAAGAAACCCAGCTAAACCTCAAATTTGTTGGGTTGAGGGACTGAGGGGGAACAGGGAGCCTGCATGACAGGAATTATTTCACCAACCATGAAGGAGGAGACAGTCCATTATTCTTTGCTTGTCTCTCCTGCTTTGTGCCTAAAGCCTGGTTTTCACTAGCGCTTAAGCATAAGCACAAGCACATGTGTAAGCAAGTGAGAACACTGGCGACATAAGCACAAGAAGAATGGACATGTTCATTCTAATGCTTATGTTGTAGCTTTGATTAGTGAGAACGGGGTTAACATAAGCACAAGGACATCGTCTTCATCCGCCACCTTGTTTATCATTGGGTTGAGGAGAGCTGGTATCCAGAATTGAGTCAAATATGCCATTCTCTGTGTGTGTATGTCCGTATGCTTATGTGCTAGTGAAAACCAGGTATGCGCATCTCTGATGCTCAGCTAAATAGTGCCTGTCATGCACGCAAGTTTAGGTAGGATTCCAAAGAAAATAATCAAGAATACTTGGATATGATTTTTTACTGACCCATCTAAGTTGAATCAGAATGACAAAACCTGGATCAGACCTCACTGAATTAACTCCATCCTGTGACCCTATCCCTAACCTTTCGTCATTAAGTGAGTTACAGGGGTTAATCCAATCCTATCTGATCAAGGTTCTGTTGACTCCTCTTAAGTTGTTCCCAAAATTGAAGGGATGCAGGAAATAAGGCCCCTATTGTAAGTCATTGCTGAGGTAATATACAGAATACAGCTGATTCACAATCATATACAAGAAAAACTGGAAGTAGGATATAGCACTTTAGCAGATGTCACTTGGGCTTCATTCCAGACACCTCTTCAAACAAAAAAAAACTCAAGACCAAACTTTGATCCAAAGTAATTCAGGGGCACCCAACGACAATTTTCGGAAAAATATCTCTTCCGAAGACGATTTGAGATCTAGAATTTTCGGAACATTTGTTGTAAAATTTCTTGCTTGCCTGCCTCTCCTAGGATTTTCGAACATATAAAAAAATGGTATAATTGCCTATTTTTAACGGATTGTTACCCTAAAAAGGTCACCTAGAATTTTCGGGAGCCTTTTTTCTGGCTGAAATTTTCGAAAAGGCAAGTTTTGATCCCTATAATTTTCGGATCACTAGACTTTCAGCTAGGAAATCCGAACAGATGAAAAATTTTTAGGGGATAAAAATATGCCTTTATCTACCGTTTAAATACTAAAATACGTTTAACAATACTATGTTTAAGTGGTTTTGAACTATATTCTCATTGGGTGCCCCTGGTAATTTAATTTTTATTAAATTTCTGTAAATTTTTTTCCCTTGATCCTCCAAGAAAGGGTAAACAGAGCAAAATAATAAAAAATATATATTTTTCTCTGTATGTATTGCACATGTCAGAATGACACTTTGTTACAGTTCTCTTCAAAACAATGACACGGAACATAAAATGGAATTTGTGAACATTCTCCAGTTCGTTCTTATACCTAACTTACCTCCAACAGTAAATGGTAACCCAGATGAAAAGTGAATACAGGTCAACAGTTGTCTATCAAGATATGTTTACACTGTGTAAAATCATCCCACCTCCAAGCTAACAACAATGGTTCACCGATGGTATCTCTTTGCATAATTCATTCAAAGAATGTAGAGAATTTGTTGTGGTATAATTTTTAGACCACTGGGTAATAATGGTTTAAAATGTTATTTTCCTTTGTGCTTTGGAATGGTAACATACGATAATGAGCCAGGAACAAAGGGCAAAAGATTTGAACCAAGAATATAATATTATTGTATCAGAACAAACAGTAATTTATACAATCTTCATTAAAAAAACCCAAATCAATGTCAACAGGATCAGCCATGAACAATCACTTCATTCTTGAAAAGATCTTCTAACAAAACAAGTGTCTGTAAAGCAGACTTTACACTGTCAGTATCACTGTCATTCTGAACAATCATCTTCAACCAGTCATGAAGCTCAAACAGTTCCCCAGGGGCATCATTCACCAAAGATGAAGATGGAACAGAAACTGCAACCATGGCCTGAGCAAAGATCAGTGACTGTCGCACAAATGGCTCTTGATGATATTTTAATGCCCAGGTAAATTCTAACAGTGCTGTTCCCATGTTTCTTGCGATAGGCGTTTCCCGGGCAGAGTACATGATTATTCCAAGGGTATAAATAAGACGTCCAAGGACAAGAGTATCTCCACCCAAAAGATCTAATGTGTTCACCTTACTGTCAAAGTTTTTCATCAGAGGAAAAAAGAAGAAACCAGCAACACCAGCAAACTTATTAGCAACAGCTTTAGGCTGCGGTTTGCTTGGCCCATTGACAAACCTTTTTGTTTTACTGTTTATCCTCTCTTGTACAATCTTCTGCCACTCTGGAATACCTTCTGCTGTTTTAGCAGAGGCTGCTTGAGTTAATGGAAACTTTCTTGGCACTGCTCTCATCCTAGCAACTTCTGCTGGAGCTGAGAGTTGTTGTGCAGCATCAGCAAGAACATTTAACATGTCCATGCGTTGAGACAGATTGTAGTTAGGAGCAAAAAATTCTTCTGTCAAATAACATGCAATTTGCTGAGGACACCTGATGGTAACTGATACCATAGCATTGTGACGAAGCTCACAAAACTTATCTGTGGAGTATTTGTCCTGAAGATGAAGCAGCAATTTTACCAATTCTACACTAACATCTTGAAGATCATCTAAGCCAGCATTAATGAGCTTCTGTAAGGCTTTAAGGGACCCTTCTGTCTTAGGAGGATCATCTGATGCTATAAGGCCATCTATGCAGTCGCGTAAATGCTTAGGAGGATAGGGGTTGCTATCCCTTTCCTCTTCATCATCAAGGTCATATGGCAACAACTCATTGTCATCATCACTGACACCACCATCATTCTGAGGGGCACTCTTTTGGGAAGAACTGGCATGTTCTGGATTTGAAATCCCATTTGTTTCTGTTTCTTTGTTTTTCTCTGGATTGCCATTACATTCTTTCCAACTCTTCCCAGTCTTCACCCTTCCCATGTCCATCCCCTCCTGCAAGCCTTTTGCTAACAAATGTAATAGTTTAGTGTCATCATCTTCGGCATAATCAAACTTGAGTTTCTCCCCACTGGGTTCAAGACTAGACGTGACACATTCTGCAACCACCATTCCAAGACGTCGTACCTTTTCCAAGGGGCTGTCCAGATGACTTTGCACACCGACCAACAACTTTGTAAGTAAAGCATGCTTTTGCAATGCCTTCTCTTCTGCACTCAAATGACTGAACGAAAGAACAACAGCACAAGTGATGTAAAAATGCTGATCATACGTTGCATGTTTAATCGCACTTTTATCAGCCCATACATCAAAGAGTTTCAGGAGCGTTTCCACTAACAAATGCCTGCCCTTACAACCTGATAAATATCCAATAATGTTGTGAAGTACATTGATGTTAGAATAGAACCTCATCAACAGAAACTTGGTAGTAAGCAGGTACTTGAGTTTAGAGCTGGTGAGAACTGAGTCACCAAGTAACTTGGCTATTAACATGGGGTTCTTAGCTGACTTGAGAAGTCCTTCTGCAACATGTTCCATGGTGTGGTCCGGGACACCAGTAATTAGTCTTGCACAAATTCTATTCCAAAGTGGACTTGTCTGCAGCCACTTCTCCAGTGCTGGTAACAAAATGGCAAATGTAGTCTCTGCTTGTCCTGCCATACAAACTCTCCCAATCACCTCTCCAAGGAACTTGAATGAGCAATCGTATGACATTGACAGGTTGTCATGCAGTTTTTCTAGTGCCTTGAGAATCTGCTCAGCAACCATTTTAAAGTATGGCTCTGGGTAAAACAGTGAGCTACACTTCTGTCTCATCTTGTTTGCCACTCTCTGAGGAAGGGAAACCATTATGGTGATAAGCTGTCTCCATAACTTGTTTTCAAATTCAGATTGACTGAATTTTAAAGACGCACTTCCCGAAGACCTAGACACCTGGCATTGCTGTACAAAAATGTCAACCAACCTTCCTTCAGTGCAAAACTTCTCTAAGATGGAGACTACCACTTTAGTGTTTTTATGATTGGTGGTTTTCTTAGAAAGTACTTCCCCTAAAACAAGTAAACTATCGTGAGAGGGTCCACGGAGGAAAAACACATCAAACAGCTCCCTTTTCTGTTCTTCGCTGAAACCACTGTAAAATCCAATCACTGGCGAAGAAAGAATACATTCAGCGAACCTCACAAAGTGGTTGTTTACAAACTCAGCCTTCAGGAACGCTCGTTTTTCAAGAGGAACTTTCGCGGGTTGCAGAGACCCTCGCAGAAAAAGCTCGACTACGTCGCTCAAAGGTTCGATCAATTCACTTGGGTTTGACACATCTGTGATGATATTTTGCCGTTCACGGACAAACCTGCGGACCTCACAGGGTATCTGCTTATCCGAATGTTGCTCCATTCAATACAATTAAAGGAACTAGGAACTGTCTTGTAACCGCGTGTTGTCCGCCATGTCACTCACACTTCACGCGGAGAGGATGCTGGGAAGAAGGTATTGCGGCGGGGGTAGTAAGACGTATATTGGGGTAGGGGGTAGGACCCCCGACCCGGCCACCTGAACGCTTACATGCCCCTTCAAATAGGTTTGATAGTATATGGTTGGCATACTATATTCTGCCGCCGTTAAAAATAAAGAACACTTATTTTCTGCAAAACCCAACATCACTTTTTGTCAACCGATCACGCAGAAGCAAAATTTACTAATATCCCCAAAATAAACAAAAAACTTTGAAATATTTTAGGCAGCATGGGCCTTTAGAATGATAGCTTGTGTAAAAATCGTGGAGAGAGTCTCTCTCCCCGATTTTTTCTGAGGGGAGAGGGACGCCTGTACACAGGCTATGGGAATGATGGCAAGAGGGAAAAGGCGAGCTTTTTCGACCCAACCTAAAGAATCAAATATATGGGGCTTAAGCTAAGAGATGTGCATGAGAGAGCAGGACATGCACATGCACTTTTCTCCCTCCCACTCAGCATCACCATTCTTCTTTGTGCCCAAAAACTTCTCAGGTGCCTGTGTCAATCAAAGAGGGTCCTCAAAAGGCCTCTTCAATCCCGTCATCCCAAGCCAAATTTTTGCTCAATCCTGTTATCTCAATGGTTATTTTCAGCATTCTGCACCCTATGCATACTTTCAATCACGAATCTCGCCCCCATTTTGCTTTAAAAAACTTGCCTGCATAACAGGCACTTTATGAGCCCAGGGAGGCCAATGCAGCATTTTGCGCAAAATGCCGCGTTCGCCTCACTTGGGTCATAAAGTGCCTGTTACGCAGGGTAAATATTGAATCCCGGCCTTCCAATAAAGCAAATCCCAGATCCCGAAAAACATATCGGGGACCTTCATCAAAAGCTAGAAGGTGTATACTGCATGTCTGTAATACTGGCCAGGGCCCCGTATAAGCCAAAGGTATTTGCAGCATAAGATGAAAATAAAAAAGGTTCAATTGATTGCTGTTATCGGATAGCTTTATTTACTAATGAATATACATCATATCAAAAGCATAAATCATGACTACTTTCCTCACGTTTTTGATTATGTCAAAATAAAATTGACAACACTATAGAACTATATTTCATAATATATAATATATATTAAATGTTCAATGGCACTGTGCTAATAGTTTAGTAACTCTTGTATAACACTGTAAATCAAAGTTGGACACTGCAATAGCCCATAATATTTTTGAGCACTTAATAGCAAAAGCACTATACTCCCTCACAAGTATTACCCACACAAATCCATGAATAAAAAAAACAAACAAATCAACCTCATGCACATGTCTAGCTTACAAAATTAATACTACATGAATCACATGAACTTCTAATCTTAAAGTGGAAGCTGGTACTACTGCTGAAAAAATTAACTATGCCTAGTTAGTTTCACAATCATTAACTCAAAATGCCATAACCTCTGTTTCAAAGTGAGATAGGAGACCAATCTCAATATACATGGGGCTCAAATGAGAGATAATACAGGATGTTATCAAGCCCAGTCTGACAGTTTTCGGGTTTCTTTTTTAGAATATTTACACACGGCCCTAAGCAACCCAGCCAACCACTTTTAACTGCGATCAAACAAGACTAGTAGCCCATTCGCAATGTGTTGAAGGTTTGCTCAAAGCTAAGGCTTTCAGTCAGTGTTTCATTTTGACTGGCTGATTCTTAGCCAATATTTGGTTGACATACTAGGCTTTATAGAGGTTTGCAAAACGTGGGTGACTAATGGTAAATTATGATAAGATCATGATATTTCTGAAACAATGATGAGAAGCTCAGTCTCATTTATGTTTCTGTCCACCTTGAATTTTTTGAACTTACTCCCTGAGACCCTCTTAGGGTGTACATATGTCCCTGGTCTAAATTTCAAATATGGTTGTTTCTAGTTTTTAGGAGTAGGCCATGTCCCTGTTGATATTATTGTTGTTTGTTACTATGGCATCTTATCTTATGTCGCTGTTTCAAGGCCATGCGCTTCTTAGAATTTTACCCGGGATTTTACCCTAACAGGGTCTCTAAAGGTCTCAAGTTTCCAAATGAGGCCTTGGCTTCTAACCAAGCCTTGACTTTAACAAGTCAATATCTATCCATTAAACATTCCAGTGATAACTCAGTCCTATTTCTACAAAAATAGCACCCAGTGCCCATCATCTGGTCAAGTTAATTAGAATGAACGGCAAACTTCTTTGAGTGTTTTCTGTACATCATAGATGGATTCACTTTATTTGCTTCCCTTAGACGGTACTTTTTCATGTCCTTATTCTTTTGATAACAAGAATAGGGGCATAACATATCTGTGAACCCCTCTTTAAATTCCTTGCTCCAGTAACCCAAAAGAAGGGCAAATGAGGCTGGAAAACAATAGGTCATAATTTCTGTTAAACCATCAGCAACTTCATGAATTCCTTCAGTGTTGCTGTTGTCCAAAAGAAGGAAAATGCACCTCGGAATCCAAAAGATCACAAAACTCAAAGTTATTCGTACAACGATTTTCGACCAAGTTGACTCTTTGGCGACGGAGGGAAAATCAGCGTAATCCAAATTCTTCATTTGTCTTCCGTGGACATCGATGGTGTGAAGATGGCTAACTGCAGTTTTCATGACTTTCCACTGCAAGATTAGCATGAAGAATGTCGGGGTTAGGACTTCGATGGACACGAAAACGTAGACGTAAACCGTTGTGTACGTCTTGCTCAACTTGCAATCCAAGGATTTTGGAAAATCGTTGTTCAAGTTGGCAAACAGGAACGACACAAGAACTGCAGTGCTCCAGCAAAGCACTATGAAGCCGAAAGTGCGACAGTTGGTGAGAAATTTCTGATACCACTTGTACCTTGCGATCGAGAAATATCGATCCAAGCTCATGGCTGCCAACGTATAAACAGTAACTGTACAAAAGAGTACAAAGAAGCTTCCGTACGTTTCGCACAGCCTTGGGTTTTCGAACCACGTACTCTTGTCCAAGAAACTCATTACACGAAGAGGCATTACTACCCCAGCCATAAGCAAATTCGCCAAAGAAAGACTTGCGATGTAGAAATGAGTCCGGAAGCGTAGGTTCTTGCTTTTGACAACAGCAGCGATGATCAAAAGATTACCGAACGCGGTAAACAAAATCAAAATGGCGAACGCCATACCGTTTATCAAGTCTCCTACACGCCACAGTTCCTTCAAGCTTGCACGTGTAGCTGATTCCTCGGTGGAAAACATCATGGAGGAAGCAGTTGTATCTAATGGGGCCATGAAAATTCGCAAAAATAGCAGTCTTTTAACCAAGCCTAATAGAAACGCGAAGCAGCATCTGTTCTCTCAAAACACTTCCTTGATGGACGCCTGAAAAACGACCTGGAATGCGCATCGCGCATTTCCATAGTTACTGGACGCTAAGTGGCTAGGAAAGAATTAGGGTATTGTATCTTTTGTTTTTGGATTAAAAATTATTTAAGCCTTCGTTGGAATGTTAAGGTGGCTCGATACAGTTTTTCTGGGCCAATACCTCCCAAGTTTGAGTATAAACCACGTCGCCATAAACAAAGATTTGGAAATATTGCCACAGTTGTTTTAGGGCCCGTTGAGGGTTACCCTTATGCTAGGGTTACCCTTGCAAGCAGGTTAGGATAGCTCTGGTATATACACAAAAATTTAACAGGTAGGGTTTACTTTACCAGCTTTACTGACGTGTTTCGTCATTCGTGACATTCTTTGTAACGTCCAAGATTTGAAATAAAACTTGAAGTTCTCAATGGAAAATACGTTAAATTCACGAAAAAACGGGAAATATCATTGTATAAAGAAAATACTTCATATTGTTATTTTATAGTAAATGTACTATATTTACCGTTTGCGGTTTTTTGAGCAATTTTGAATGAGTTTGAGTTCGCCGTTGACTGTCCTTATAATAGAAGGAGCCCTTTCAAAACAAGGATTCCACCCTTGTCCTTATAAGGAACAGTCAACGGCGAACTCAAACTTATTTAAAATCACGGTTCAAAAAACCGCTTCTGAGGCAAAAGGACGACTAGATTCCACAGGTAAGAAGGTAATTCAACGTTTATTTATCATTGATTTATATACATAGTTAGCGATATATTGCTATAGGTGAGGCAAACGGTAAATCTAGTACATTTACTATCACATAACAATCGACTACACAAACAGATGGTGTGGGGGCCCTGTGGTTGTTTCCTTATCGGAAATTTCAGCCGTAAATTTGATCGTAGGATCACACAGGCTAGTGACGAAGCCTTCTTTGGAATCTTTTAACCTTGCCCCCCATCGGACGGGAGAAAAACTGCAAGCTACTGAATTGAAGGCTGGCCTGCTGGCAAGCTCTTTCCTGCATGGACGCTCAATGGAATACTTAGCCTGTGTACAGACGTCCCCCCTCCCTCAGGAAAAATCGGGAGAGGAGACAGGCTATGGAATACTGGGTGTTAGTTTATTTGACCCTCCCCTAAGTATAAATTACAAAGAAGCTTCCTGACTAAAACAGACACTCAAATAAGAAATAATGAAGAAATTTTATCAAGCCTGGTCTACACCTTTGAGACGGGCACTAAATGTCCGTCTTCAGGGAGAGATGAAAAGATGTCCGTCTTATAAAACTGAAAGGAGAGGAAAGAAAGGCAGGAAGGCAACTCCAAGTTAGCCTGTGTACACCCCACCCCCCCCCCCCCCCCCCCCCCCGAAAAAACCGGAAAAAAAACAAATTTCCCCCGAGGGGGGGGGGGCTAAAACCCCAAAAAAAAAAACAATTAAAAAAAACAAAAAAAAAACAAAAAAAAAAAAAAAAAACACAAAAAAAAAAAAAGGGGGGCAACACCTAAAAAAAACAAA